AGTTGTATGTCATAGCTGCACATCCTTCTAGTTGCTGTATGTGGGACTCGGCCTCAGGATGGACGGAGAAGTGGTGCCTCGATGCACACCCGGGATCCGAACCCGGGCCACCAGCATCGCAGCGCGCGCACTTAACCACCAAGCCACAGGGCCGGCCCAGCTTTTCCCTTTCTGCCACGCCTGGAGCTCTAGAGGTTGTAGAAGGGGCTCAGTTTCCCCAAGGAGCTAGTGTTTTGTGAGAGGGGCTCAGCAAACACCTGGGAGAGGCACTCGGTGAACGTTGGTGGCTGAGAGACATGAGCTGTGCTAGAGCCCTGCAGGGCCCACGGCTGTGACCACAGAGTTAGCATGGGGGGTTCCCAGGAAACCACCCTGGCCCTGAGTGTGTAGCTGTGGTGACTGACGGAGGGTCTGTGGTGGCCTCATGGGCTTGTGTTTGCCTGTTCCTGGAGCAGGAAGTGGAGAGACCACGCTGCTCCTTCCCACTGCCTTCCCTCAGTCACTCGCCATCTGCTGAGCGTGGACGCTCGCTGCCCAAGGTGGCCTGAGCCCAGGGCTTTGGCGTGGACTCTTCCTGCCTGGGAGTGGCTCTGAGCATCAGTGCTGGTGGGCCGTATGCATGATGGCTTGTCTGTGCGTCCTTCCCTGAGCTGCCGCTACTGGGAGCACACTTGGCAGGCCTGGGGCAGCCTGGGTCATATTCGTGTCCCTAGGATGCTGTGGCTGGCTCCAGGAGCAGGGCTTCACCCCCTCTGTTATTACCAGGATACCCCATTCCACTAACAGGGCTGCCCTCCAGGCTGCTGTGGCCTCTGTGGTTTGGGAAATGAGCTGTGGGGCTCACCGCGTGCTCACCGCACAGCTGTAGGTTTGACTCCATCACTCTGTTGCCTGTGAGCAGAGGTGCGCACAGGATCCAGACGAGAGCACCTGTCTGGCCCACCCCCCTCATGTGCTGTGTGCGGTGTGGCCGTTGGTGGCCTTTTTCCATCTCCTGCATCAGCCTAGGAGTGAAGGCGTCTGTTCTCTTATCGCACCTTGATTTCCCAAGTGCGGTCCTGCAGCTGCTGTCCCCTCGCCCCTCCGAGGCCTGTGCTCCTTTCCCCTTTTGTTAAAGCCTCCTCTTCATTCCCAGCCACATCCCTCCCATTTGTTTCCCCTTTTCAACACCGCTCACAGCTCCAAATAGAAGCTCGAGGTTTCTGGGGTGCTGGCAAAGCTGCGAGGAGGGCGTTTGAGGTGCTGGGCTCTCCCTGTGTGTGTGTCGGGGAAGATGTTGGCTTTGGGACGCTGGGAGGACATGCAGGGCTAGCACAAGTGGGTAGATGGCCTTGGGAACCGAGGCCCTTGATCTCGTCAGACTGCTGGGCGCTGAGGCTCCTCTGCCTCGTGTTTGGTGGGCTGTCATGGGAAGGGGGCTCTTCTGCAGAGCTGGCTGGTGCTTCTGGGGGAAGAGCCTGCCCAGGCCTGTGGATGGGCGTGTGTTCCCCAGCTGGGTCTCTGGGTGCTGCGTGTGCTCAGCGTAGGCTAACCCCCTCTTGTTTTCCAGGGCAAACAGGAAGAGAATGATGTGGTGGAGAAATTGAACCTCTTCTTGGATTTGCTCCAGTCCTATAAAGTGAGTCTTGGCTGCTCCTTGGGCAGGGACAGAGCCTCTGAGAAGGATCTTATGATCTTTCAGGGGTGTAACTCTAGGGGAATGGAAAAAACACCGAGAAGCCAGGGCTGCAGAGGGAAGACAGGCCTTACGCAGACTTGCCGATGTTATTTTTCCTTGGCGGGCTCTGCGGAGTCTCTGGGCTGTGGCCCCAGCAGGCGTGCAGACGGGCCTCTGGCTTCCCCCGCTCTGAGAACAGGGGTTATGTGTGCGTGTGTGTGTGTGTCAGTGAATATCATAGCTCTCTATAAATATGTGAGGGGCTGGCCCAGCAAAGAGGAAGATGTCCTCTTCCAGCCATCCCAGGTGGAGGTTCAGGGAAGTCAGACCTCAGCTCCATGTAGGGCTGGCTTTCTAACTGTCGGAGCATTGGTGACCGAATGGATCGCCTCTGAAGCCACAGAATCCTTTGTGCTGAGCTCAAGGAGAGCTGGCCCAGCGCTTTGGGGAATGTTCCAGAAGGGATTTCTCTGTTGAGTTGGGATGGTAGCCAGGTGGCCTTGAAAGTCCCGCCCTGTGGTTCTGTGGCTAGTATTTCCCACAAGATTTCTGACTGGGGATATTTTAGGGCCCCAGGGAAATGCCAGTGCTTCTTCCTTTTGGAGACGTCTGGTCTTCCTGCTGCTGGAGGGACTGGCTTTCTGGACATGGGGCAGCGTTAGAGCTGAGGTCCAGGACTGTCCCAGCACTGTACATTTCCTCTCTGAAGGGAGCCTGTTCCACGTTTTGATTGCGGTGCTGATTCGCACTGCGCCCCCCTCGTGGTTCGACCCTGGGCCCACTCACCTGACTGCTCTGTTCCATGAACACTTCCTGAGCGTGGAGTGAGGGGGTGCATGTGAACCGTTTCTGAGGAGGAAAAGCCATGCTTGGAAAGGGCTCCTCTCGCCGGGACGGTAACAGCACTGCCTCTGAGGCCGTGTGCTGGGAGCCTGAGTGCTGTCTCTTCCCCAGCCTCCTCCCATCTCTCCCCTTTCAGTGCTTCCTCCTGCCAGGCGGGAGGGGGCCCCAGCATTTTCGTTGGCTCTGGGTCCCTCTTGGCTAATGGCTGAGGGCCTCGCGCGCCACCTCTGTCCCCACAGGACCTGTGTGCGCGGCACGAGAAGGGGCTGCTGCACAAGCCCCAGCGGGCCCTGCACACGTACAGCCTGATGAAGCGGCCGGCGACGAGCGCCGCTGTGCAGAGCCGCGAGCCCGAGTCCGTGGAGCAGCTGGAGTCCCGCATCATGGAGGTAGTGCTGGCGTGGGGGGCGGAGGGCGCGGGCCGCCTCGGGCGGCCTCCTGGGGAGCCTTTCCACACCTGGTGGGGCCGGACCCTGGAACCGTACTTCTGGGCAACTGTTGGTTGGCTAAATGAGCTTCCAGGATGTCGATGCCCAGGTACTGGTATAACAAGCGTGTGGGGGGGTCCTGGGGGTGGGAAAGCCGCCCCTGGTGCCCAGAGTGACGCTTGGTGCTCTCTCTTCCCTCGGCACCTTCTGGACGCCTGGTTGCAATGTGTGGCTTGGCTTTTGCCTCGGCAGTTACACAGAGGAAGGGCTCAGGAAGAGGCAGCGTGTCGGCCGGGGTGCTCTTCCTCCCTGCCGTCTGCTGGGCCAGGTGCAAGGGGAGGCTCTTTCCTCTGCAGCAGGAGAACGCGATCCAGACGATGGAGCTTCGGAACTACTTCTCCTTGTACTGCCTGCACCAGGAGACGCAGCTGGTCCACGTCTACCTGCCCCTCACCTCCCACATCCTCGGGGCCTTCGTCAACTCACAGATCCAGGGGCACAAGGAGGTGGGTCTCCCCCTGCACCGACCCCTGTGTTGGTCAGCACCTTTCTTTCTGCAGCGGCCCCTCCTGCCAGTCTGCTGGCCTTTGCAGCTGACCTCGAAGAATCATGTGGGAAAGTTAGTGGAGTTGGGGTGAGCACGGGACCGTTAACACGTTGTTCTTGTTTGAATCCCCTAGTCTTGTGTAGCCAGAGTGGTAATGGTGATGTTGTCCTCGTGATTCTGGGGGGAGGGATGGTGGTGGGAGGAGCAGAGTGAGACTATAAGGGAACAGTTTCTCATCTTCTGGAGGAATTCCAGAAGGCAGAGGTAGAGCATATAGAATCCCCAAGAATTGAGATATGTTGAGAGCAGAGACGGCGGGGAATCAGTGTGAGGAGGTCGGGAATACAGAGATGGGATATTTTCCTGAAGCCCTTGGTAAGCTTCCTCCAGATGGTGGCTCCCAAACCTTTGAGGAGAAATGCTGTGATTGTCCCAAGACATTGCAAGCTGCAGCGACACTTGCCTGGCCGGAATTGTCTACAGCCGTATAACTCCAGCTTGTGTTTTTGGCTCTTTGCCCACCCTTCTCAAACAGCAACATGTGTGTCCATCTCCAGACAGCCTAGAATGCTATGTGTCTGGCCAGGGCTGAAGAAACACTTAAGAGGTGATCCCTGTCCAGTTCTGCTTTGCTCGCTCTGTGTAGCTTCTGCACCCTCCTGCTTTCTGGTATTGTCTGTCCTGGGTTCCTTCGATGCCTCTTGTTAGCCGTGGGAGCACAGTCACCTCCTAATGGAGGATGCATTTGCCCATGGCCACCTCCGGCTCCTTGATACAGCACGGGGCCGGGGTGGGGGGGGCGGGGCACAGTCTCAGAATTTCTAAATCCCAGCTCTGTGACTGTTATGAGCTCTTGCAGCCTTGCTTGGGTTATTTAACCTCTGTGGCCCAATTTCCCCTGAAAAATGGCATAAAATATGACTCTCCCAGCCTTCTAAGATTGGCCTGGGGATTTGGTGGGTAACGGACTGCAAGTAGCTGCTTTGTGCCAGGTTCTGTGGCTGTGCTGGGCACACAGCTGGACTGCAGCTGTCCCTGTCACCAGGGACTGCACAGACTAGTGTGATATCCTGACCGGTTGGCCTGCCAGAGGAACAGGCTTCTCATGCTCTGACAGAGGCCTGTGCAGAGCCCAGGGGTAGGGTGGGGTACAGTCTAGGATGCTGGCAGTTCTGCGTGGAGGCCAGGGAGCTTTTTGTGAGCAGCACTTAGAATGAACTTGGATCCATATCTCAGAAAGGTCATTGTCAAGGGCTTGAAGGGTGGGGTAGAGGATAGAGATTGTGAATCCAGTCGGGAGGCACTTGTCACTGACCAGGTCAGTGGCCAGTCTGGACCCTCGTCTAGAAGCAGTTGTGCCAGAACAACCTGGAGTGTTTGTTTAACATGTGGATTATGAGGTGCAGATCCCACCACAGACCTACTAACTCAGGATCTCGGGGGGCCGGGAGTCAGAATCTGTGCTTTTAGCAGGGACGCTGGGTGACTCTGGGATGAGAGATCCCTAGGGGACACCGGGTGAGTCTGGGGAAAGAACCCTAGGGGACACCAGGTGAGTCTGGGATGACAGAGCCCTAGGGAACCCAAGGTGAGTCTGGATGAGCGATCTCTAGGGGACACCAGGTGACTCTGGGATGAGAGATCCCTAGGGGACATGAGGTGAGGCTAGGATGAGAGATCCCTAGGGGACACAGGTGGGTCTGGGATGAGAGATCCCTAGGGGACACAGGTGGGTCTGGGATGAGAGATCCCTAGGGGGACACAGGTGGGTCTGGGATGAGAGATCTCTAGGGGACAGGAGGTGAGTCTGGATGAGAGATCTCTAGGGGACACCAGGTGACTCTGGGATGAGAGATCCTTAGGGGACACAGGTGGGTCTGAGATGAGAGATCCCTAGGGGACACCAGGTGGGTCTAGGGTGAGAGGACCCTAGGGGACACCGGGTGAGTCTGTGTACCACCTGGGTCCGGTCACCCTGATCCTAAATTTCTCTGTTGTAGCTGGCTGACTAGTCCCCAGTCTCGTAGTGCCTAGACTAGACTCTGCTTCATCTGCATGTCCCCAGGGCCACACTCTGCTTTTCTGTTATCACATGAGCCACTTGGCCCCCAGCACTGATCTGGGACACCTGCCTCACTCACAGCTTCCCTGCTGCTTGTACCCACAGTATCCATTCCTCAGCCTGGATACCAGAGTGCTTGGCAAGTGCCGGCGGCGTCTTATTCCTCCCGCCTTATTCCTCATTCATTTTTGTGTTCATTTGGTGGACGTTGTCTTGGTGTGTGACCTGCTGAGCCAGAGGCCAGCGCTTGCTGAGCTGTTAGAGAACGTGCTGGAAATGACTCAACAAAGGTTCTTAAGTTTCCGCGTTGAGCAGACTGCCCCTTCGGTCCTGTGTGCTGGGTCGAGGGTCCGGCCGGTTGTCACCTCTGGTTTCGGGCGCTCTCCTTATTTGGGCCTCGTCTGTGGAGGAACGTGCCGCGATGCAGGGAGTGGAAAGGGCAGCTCTGGGGGAGGCGACACACAGGCCTGGTGGTGGCCATTGCGGCGTGTCCCCTCTTGCCCCCTGCCACAGGATGGGCTGTCCTGAGGCCCCTCGTTGGCGTTTTCTGAAGGACCAGTGCATTAGGGTGTGGGGCCGGTGCCCCTGTCTTTCTCACCCTCTCTTGCCCCCTCTCCTCCTCCAGATGAGCAAGGTGTGGAACGACTTGAAGCCCAAGCTGAGCTGCCTCTTTGCTGGACCAAACAGCACCCTGACCCCGCCGAGGTCCCCGCAGGACGGCGTGTCTCCTCACTAGTGCCAAGGACCTGGGCGCGAGCCCCTGGCGCCTCACTAAAACTTCTTTCCAAACGGTGTGTCCCTGTTTAATTCCCCTCAGACGGCGCTACCCCCACCCCCAGGGGTCCCTGGCGGCGGGCTGACACCTCTGGAGCAGAAGAGCTGACATCCGGCTGGGTGGGGCTGGGGTCCACATGGCCATGGCTCCCCTCCCCTCGTGGGGAGCAGGGCCGAGGACACGCCCTGAGGCCTCTGAGCATCCGTGGAAACCGAGTTGCCCTCGACCACTCCTGCCCCCCCACCTGCCCTCACACCCGTGCTGTGGCCTGTTGGTCTGGCCCTGAGAAGTGTTAAGATTCCCTGGAATGGTTTTCTCCCGATAGTGAAGGCAGTGCAGCAAGGATGGTTCTCACACAGCAGATGGAGCCTGGGGGCATGTGCAGGGGGACCCCATGTGCTAGAACAGTCGGGAGGGGTCTGGATTAGCTGAGTGTGGAGGGAGGCTGAGACCCCACGGAAGGCAGGACTGTCCCTATGTTGCCATTGGACAGGAGGTGGCTGTATCTCTGACACGTGATTGGTCAGTGAAAGGGCAGACAGCCCAGGGCGGGTGTGGTGCGACAGTGTGAGTGCCAGAGCGGGCAGCAGGAGTGAGGAGGGAAGGCGGGGACCTGAGGGTTGCTGGGCGCACAGTGTTCATTTCAGGGGACATGCTCCAGTGAGTGCCCTAGGGCCCTGGTCTGGGACTGGCCTCCGGGGCGGAGTGTCCGTGTCCCTCACTCCGTGCACACACACGTGCACATGCACATACTGTGACCCTGTGGTGTGCCTGGGGCTTCTGCTGTCTGTCCAAGTGCCAGGAACTGCTCTGTTCTCTTCCTGTATAGACGCCCCCCTTTTGGAGACCATGAGCTTCGAGGCCTGAGAAAAGGCAGAGGAGGGGAGGGCAGTGAGGGTGTTCCGGCTGGGGCTCTGGAGGAGGGTTGCTGTGGTTAACCCCTTTTAAACCGACCTCACTTATTTGGGCGACTAGGACCCTCCTCCAGCCTCCCTCCCACCCTTGCTGACCCAGCCACCTGCTCCGAGGAGGCTGGCCATTCCCGGAGCTCTTGGGGTTGGAGTGTCTGCCTCTGGCCTTAAATGCACACACCTCATGGAGCCTTGCTCCCAGGCCTGGAACTGGCCCCCTTGGCCCCTCGGGCCTTCTGGAGCTCACTGCTCCCAATGGCTGGGGGTGGGGTTGGAGGAGGCTCGAACCAGGACTGTAGGATTTCTGAGATTCCTGCCTCCCGGGGATACGAGCCTGACTCAAGGGGGTTTTCTGTGTGTCTGATGTGGGAGTCTTTCTGCCCCTATATCCACATGCAGCCTGCAGGACTGGAAATGGAGGGCGAGGCTCTCGGGGAATTTGGTTCACCACAGACAGGTGGGCTTCCCTGCTGAGCTGACGCACATCATAGTCCAGGGGAGAGTGTCTCTTAGGTCCGGCCACATATGGGGCCCACCCCACGCATGGGTTCTGCCTGTGCCAGCAAAGCAGCTGGGGCAGGGGGGAGTGCCCCGCCCCAGCCCGAGGCCCACCCCATGCATGGGTTCTGCCTGTGCCAGCAAAGCAGCCGGGGCAGGGGGGAGTGCCCCGCCCCAGCCCGAGGCCCACCCCATGCATGGGTTCTGCCTGTGCCAGCAAAGCAGCCGGGGCAGGGGGGAGTGCCCTGCCCCAGCCTGAGCCCCCGCGACAGCTGACATGTGCCTTCCTGGCCAAAGAGAGGGCACTGACCGCCCCCCAACCCCAGCCCAACCAGCAGGGGCCATTTGGATCACTCGTCCATTTCTGGGCTGTTTGCTTTTTGATCCGCCTCTGTAGAAACGGGTTCTCAGCTGCTCTGAGCGGATCCTGCGGCCCCATGGGGCTGGTCCCTCCCAGCGCTGGGTACACTTGAACGGTAAAGCATGACCGCCGGGCCGCTTCTGTCCTGTCCTGTGGCAGCTGCTGCTCACCTGCCTGGGGCCTGTCTGCAGGTGGTGAGAGACAAGCGACCACAGGACAGTGGAGAGTTGGGAAGAGACCCCAACCAGGCCCTGCGTGTGGTGGGTGGCGGGGGCTGGGCGCCCAGAAGGCAGAGGGCCGTTGCGGGGGCATCTCCCACAGCAGGTGAAGGCATCCTTGTACAGGTCACTAGGGAGAATTCTACCACCAAAGACGTCAAATGTACTTTTCTGAAGGGAACTTGACTGACGTGCTCCTCGCTCCTGGTAGCATCTCCTGCGGTGGAAACTGGGAGCAGGTTCTTGGCTGAAGCCCTGGCCTCGTGTTTCGGAGGCTCATCTGGAGGGATGTCTTCTATCCATCCCCTCCCACCCCCAGGCACCACAGAGACGTCAACGGGAAGGAGACTTGCTGGGGAGGACTTCTTGGGAGTGATGTAGGGAAGGTCACATCATCCCCATGCCCATCGGCTGGGGACAGCAGAGGCCACCTTTTTTCCACAAAGCTTCCCTCTCAGCCCTGAACCTGGGCTGCTGGTGGATTCCCAGCCTCGGGGCCTGACACCTTCTGCTCAGCTTTGTCCTGGAGAGGGCAAGGAGGGGCCGCTCTCAGTTCCAAGGTAGAGGCCCCAGGGTGACGGTGGGGGAGTCCCTGATCACCTCTGCGCCCTTCCTGCTGCCGGAGCTTTCCTTGCTGGCCAGGAGAGCCCACACACCACCACAGCCTTGCCACGGCCCGTGAAAGGACATCTGAGTATCTTATCTCCGTGGGAGCCATTCCTGCCATTCCTGCCATTCCGAGAAACCCGTTCTCCCCAGAAGGCTGGAGCCTCAGCCTGGCCTGCGGGAGTGTGCCTCTGGATCAGGTCCCCCAGCCTGTCCCGCTTCCTCAGTGGTAACTACAGACACGTTCTAGTCATCAGCCGGAGACGCAGAATAGGAAGGGAAGGCGTAAGCTAGAAGGTCTAACGTGGGGACGCATTGGCCTCTGGCCCGACTGCGGTCAGGATTGTTCTGCGTCTAAGGCCCCTCCTCTTGTTTGTGAGTCAGCTTTATGTTTGAAGCACTTTATGAGGCTGCAGGAATCGATTACTCTACACCCCGTAAACTGGAATTGTTTACAAACGATCTACATTACGAGATTTTTATCAATAAACTCACACGAACAACTATTATTAAATATATTTATAAGAGTTGGGTGAAGTTGTGAGTTCTTTGCATAAGTGGGTGGTGACTCCCCTCTTCCCAGTGGTCAGAAACCAGGACAAGTGCCCCGTCCTCTGGGGCTAAGGGAAAGTGACTAGCCTATGATGCATTAGGTCTGGGTGTTAACACTGGGCCCTGACTGTGTCTCAGTTTCCCCTTTAAGGGGGGGGTGGTGAGAGAGGAGAACGCACCTTCTAGCCCCACCCTGTGGTTCCACCAAGAGCCTGTGGCAGTGAGCAAATCACTGCCCAGCCCTTTCCCACCAGCTGTCCACCATGGGGACAGTCAGAAAAGCTGTCCTCTTCACCCCGAGGGCTTGTATCTCTTCCTCTCCCATGTGTGTCCAGTGGCATGGGGCACAGCCCAGCACGCCTGGTGGCTTCTTGAGGATGTGACTGGCTGGCTATGGTGGGGCTGGGTGAACAATGTTGAAAAGGTAAAAGATATTTATTTTCCTTCCTGTCCAATGGTGTTCCAAACGGAAAATGTAAACCCTGACTCGGGACATCGACGGTGCAGCTGTGAGCAGCCGAATCTCTGGGCCCGGAGGGCGGGCACGGTTCTGCCCCTAGACTTCGTCCACTTCGCGCAGCATGTACTCCAGGATGGTGTTGTGACCCTGGAACTTGAAGTACCGTGGAATTTCTTCTTCTGAAGCAGGAGGGGAAACCAGTATCTGTCATCAGGCCACATGTCACTGAAGGGGATCTGATCCAGTTGGAACCACTGAGGGCGCATTTCTGTAGCAGGGGAGAAGGGAGAGGCCCGATGTTCAACTGAGATTCAAACTGACCTTTGGTGAGGCATTAACTGAGCAAGTCTGTGTGAGGGACTTGATGTACTTTTGTTTTTAACCCTCGTGACTGTATCTCTTATTTTACACGATAGGAAGAAAGCTCAGCTGGGTGCTGGTGCATTGCAGCACCTGCCTCGTGGAGAGGGAGGGCTGCCCAGGGCCAGCTCCTCACCTGGCTTTCCCTCTCACCTGCTGTGGTGAAGGGACAGGCCCTGAGACTCACCGTCGCTCTCCACAGGCATCCCCTGGACACTGTGTGTGCAGAAGATGTGCACGTCCATCAGCTCAGGGTCACCCACGAACTCAAACACGATCTGGCCCACCTTGTGCAGCGCGTCTGTGGTCAGACCACTCTCCTCCTGCAGCTCCCTGCGGGCGAGGAGACAGGCAGATGGAAAGAATACGACAGTTAAAGCAAGGCGCCCATGTCCACGCAGAACCCGAGAGAGGTGCTGGGAGGATAGAGGAGCGCCGAAGGGGTCAAGGGAGCTGTGAGTGAGCTGCATGGGCTGGAAACCCAGGGACATCATCTGGAATGCACCGGTAGCTCCCAACCTGGCAGAACTTTGGAGTTATCTGGGGACCTTTTTAAAAACTCCGATTTGGTTCACAATCTGGGGAGGGGTCCAGATTGTGATGAGCGCTGGCCCAGGGCGCACAGGCCTTGTTAGTTCAACGCCCTCTGTACCACGTGGCAGCCCAGGCCTGGCCAAGCTCAGCAGCTTGGGGGCCTCACGGGAGGCCAGTGGTGGAGCTGGGAACCCCCACCCAGTCCTTTGGTTCCCGTTCTCTTCCTGCAGGGCTGCGGCAGCCTATGAACGCTGCTCTGTGGGCTGCAGGCTCTGCGGCCCTGGGCCCCACACTGAAGCCTTTCTGCCCAAAGAATCATCCTTCCTCACACCCATGCTCAGAGGGCGCAGGACCAGACCGCAGGTGTCTATTGTTTCTTTCCTGAAGGAGGCCCGATTTCACTTCTGTTCCACCAAGGAGACACCCCCCCCACCGACTCCCCAAACCAACTCCCCAAACCAACACCCGAGGTTGATCATAGGGGATGTACAGCTTTGGGCCTGCCTCGCTGCCTCCTCCCTCCTCACCCACTCTCAGGACTCTCCCCACCAGCTCAACCAGTGTGTGGAGGGGCTGAGGGGTAATCGCACCACCTGAGCACACAGGTGTGATTCACCACGAGCAGAACCAGGATGCCCCCTAAACATTCTAATGCTGTCACCTATTCAAAAACTTTCACTGTAGACAATCTGGGAAGCACCCATGGACTCATCACCCAGAAGGAGCCCTTGTTTCCATCTCAGTGTTCTTCCTTTGGGTCTTTCTCTCTTGTACATCCCTTTAAAAAACCGCAGACACATCACACATCGTACCTGCACTTTTCATGCAACAGTGGGGCAACATCCTGCACCTCAAGGAATTCAACCCGTTGCTCAACGGTTGTATATTAGAGAATAAAAAATGTGAACATGCTCATCACAAAGCCCCTGCACTGCTGACTTCTCATCCTGTCTGCTCAGCGTGGGCTCTCACTCCGCCTCTTGTTCAGTCACTCAGCAAGCGCTTTCTGGAAGATGTGCCGTGCTCAGGACTCTGGGGACCCCCGAAACCACTGCAGCCGCAAAGCTCAGAGCCTGTTCCTCCCTTTAGAGATTCTTACTTCCCCACCGCCCTGTATTTATTTCTGTCTACAAAAATGTTCTAATTACGTCTGACCATTTATAGTTGTATGTAAAAAGGTTTTTAGCTTTGAACTCAGGTGAGGTGAGGAACACAGTGCATCACTACTTCCTGTGCCTGTACCGAGGAGTCGGGGAACCACCGTGTTCATTCAGCACGCACATGCTGGGCTGAGTGGTGTTATTTAAAGAGATGCCTTTCTCAGCCTGGAACCGGCCCGACTTCCTGTCAGGCCTAGAGAGGAACTGCCTCCGTCTGCTGCCATTTTGGATGCAGGCCTGAGTAATGTTTTGAAAGCTGGAATCTATTCATTGAGATGGTTAATTAAAATTAGACTTGACCTGGAAATACGAATGTGTGTTTTCACTTGGGGGGTGCAAATGGCTCCCCAATTAAATGTAACAGAAGTGCCCAGCGGGGCTCACCAGCTCTGGCAGCGGCTGGTGGATCTCGTTTTAAAAACTTCACCCACTGATTTAATGTTTTGACTAATTTTGGTTCATCTTCCCTGAGTACATGGCAGTGTATGAGACACCAATATCTCCTCGGTGACAGGGCTAAATCTCCATTTCACAGACAGGGATAATGAGACAGCAGAGATGACAATGTTACAGTTTTGCTAACGTGTCTGACTGTATCTCTGTGATGCTCCTTTCCCCAGACGCCAGATGGAGAACAGGATGAGTAATAAGTTACACAAACTCCTGAGCAGCCAAGTGCCGCAGTGGGTGTGGGAGGCCTGTGGTGCAGCAGCTCAGGGACCCGCTTCAGTCATCCTCCTCCTCCATCGCCTTCCAGAGTTCTCTGAACACGGCGCTCTGCCTCTTCACTGCTTTGGGGGCCATCAGGGATGCTGGCCAGGAAGACGGGTACACTCCACACAGCAAAATCCCAAACCTGACTCTCTGAGGGACTCCAGGTCCCCAGTGCCTGGAACCTCCCCCGTGAAAGAATGCATCATCCTTGATGCTCAGAGGGTTTCCGCCACAGGGATGTCGGGCAGAGAGGAAGGGATGACCACTTGCACACGGCCACCCTGCACCTGCATGCCGGTGAGCGAGGAGGGAATGTTAACCCGGCTCTTGATCTGGGGCCCACTTTGGGCAGTGCAGTGGATAAAGTGTGCACCAGATTCACCACCCAGGCCACCGTGATTCACTTGCACATCAGAAGCAGGGGCAGCCAGGGCCTGGGGCTTAGGGAGCAGCTCCATGCACGTGTGCACATAAGGAAACAGGGGCAGCCATAGTGGCCCGGGGCCAATGGCAAAGTCATCCTCAAGGCTAGCAAGGCCCCATTTGCTGCTGGAGTCCCTGGGGTCCTGGGACCCATCTCAGCTTGCTCCTCACGTGTATCAGAATGTGCCATCCGGCCTGCCCCTCTCACCCAACAGGGGCAGGGGCACAGCAGTCTTTGTCAGAGGGTGTCCTTACCCTTGGCTCCATCCTACACACTTGACACTCCGGGCTGGTGCCCCAATGCCCCAGGGAAGAGGAGATAGGGGTCCTGGAGAGAGCTCCTTGGAGCTGACCCAAAGGCCCTAGGAGCCAGCATGGTGCCACGTGGTCACCAAGGCTGACTGGTCTAAATTGGGCGGTCGGTGTGTGGCCCTGGATGCTAAACTTCTCTGTCTCAGGTAAGGCCTGGGTCTGCCTTCATGAAGAGCATCTGCAGGGTGATGGCCTGGCCCTCCGGCTCACTGCTTCTGAGCATGGAAACACTAATGCCCTGTGGCCATGGGGAGGGTGTTCTCCAGGGGGTATTGAGACCTTTATAATAAAGCTGTGAGTAAGTCTAAACAACAAGAAAAAGTCATCGGTTTTACCATGGTTCTGTGACCTGGGTGAGGTCAGGACAGAGGAATGAGGTTGTGGGCACGAGACTGCTGCTCCTCTGGCCTCTGGTTATCCAGTGAGTGTCTGGAGGGCAGACTCCCAGGGCCCAGCACAGCGTCTGGTCAGCTATGCCGAGTTTATTCATTTATTTGTGTATCCATCCAGCCATGTCATGCCTATGGAAGGCCTGCCCTGTGCAGGCACTGGAGACAGTGGAAAAGGAAACCGACATCACGGTTCTATGTCACGTATGTCCTGTGTTTATGACAAAGGTGACACTGCAGTGCAGTGGGGGAACATGGTCTTTTCAATAAATGATGCTGTATCAGCTGGATATCTATATGGAAAAAAAATGAATCTGGACCTTCTGCCTTACATCATACACAAAACTTATCGCCAGGTGGATTAAAGATCTAACACTTCTAAAAGTTTTAGGAAAAAAACAGGAGAATATCTTCTTAAGCTTGGGATAGGCAAAGAGTTTTTAAAAAGGATGAAAAAATGGTAACCATAAAGAAAAAAGTTGTATATGGGATTACATTAAAATGATAAACTTGTGTTTATCAAAATATCATTAAGAGTAAAGACACAAGCCACAGAGAAGATACTTGCAGTACATATATTTGACAACTCAAGTCTAAAATGTATAAAGAGACTTCTGGTTTCTGCTTCCACATGTAAGGATCTTAGAAGTCACCACTCCATCCTAAACAAGTAAAAAGCTGAACTGACTGAAAAATCAACAACTCTTCTTGGATCCATGAGAGGGGACGCAAACCGCAGCCCCCATGATTGGAGAGAGACAGGTGCATACAGGGTGTCACGGCTTCCCGGTGCAGACTCATGAGCAGAAACCGCTGCGGGAACCAGTGCCAGGGCAGGAAACCCTGAACAGTAATTGAGGAGTTGATGGAGGCTCAGCGTGGCCAAGTCTGCGAGTTAAAAACTCCAGAGGCACTCAGTCATTGGGAGGGGTGGGGGGCGCAATATTGTGGATTTAATTCCAAGAGCTCGACCAGGTGCCCATAGTAAATAATGGAGAAAAACCCCCTTATGCTTCCTGCAGGGGGAAGGGGAAGGGAAAGGAACCACTTTGAAATACTCCGGAGCCCTCTGTTCTTCACAAGGTGCCTCAGGGGGAACTAGTTAACCAGATCCTAACTGAAATGGGAGAAGGGAAATACCCAACGCCAGCTGGCTCTAGCTATCCTGTCCCACCTAATGTGGGGAGGAGGAGAAACCTAAGAAACTCTTGTGAAGGTCGCGGTCCAGAGGCGCAGGCTCATGAAAACACCGAGACCTGATCACAGGACTCTAAACGCTTCCTCTCCCCCCACACTCACCCCCACATCACTGCAGGCCTGCTTACAGCAGCTCCTTGTACCTGGCGCATCATGTCTGTTGTCGAGAACAAATTACAAGCTACACCAAGAGGCAAAAAACACAATCTGAAGAGAGAACAAGCACAAGGCATGGCAGGGATGTGGAATTATCACACTGGGAATTTAAACAACTATGATGAATATGCTCAGGGCTCTACTGGAGAAAGTAGACAGCATGCAAGAACAGAGGGCAGTGTAAGCAGAGAGATGGAAATCCTAAGAAAGACCCAAAATGAAATGCTAGAGATGAAAAACTGTCACAGAAATGAAGGCTACCTTTGACAGGCTCATTAGTAGACGACACGGCTGAAGAAAGAGTCTCTGAGCTTGAGGATATGTCAACAGAATGCTTGAAAACAGAACAGCAAAGAGAACAAAGACTGAAAAAACACAGAAGAGAACATCAAGGACTGTGGGAAACTACAAAAAGTGTAACACATGTTTAATGGGAATTCCAGAAGGAGGAGAGAGAGAGAAAGGAACAGAAGAAACATGAGAAACAATAATGACTGAGACTTTCCCCCAAATTAATGTCAGACACCAAACCACAGATCCAGGAAGCTCAGAGAAAACCAAGCGGAAAAATTACCAAAAAACCCACATCCAGGCATGTTATCTTCAAACTACAGAAAATCAAAGACAAAGAAAACATCCTGAAAGAAGCCATAGGAAGAAAACACTTTACCTACAGAGGAACAAAGAATTGTATCCACTTTCTCCTCAGAAACCGTGCAAGCAAGAAGAGAGTGGAGTGAAAATGTCAAGTGCTGAGAGAAAAAAACCAGCAACTAGAATTCTCTACTCTGTGAAATTATCCTTCAAGAGGGAAGGAGAAATAAAGACTTTAGCAGACAAACAAATGTTGAGGGAATTTGTTGCCAGTAGACCTGCCTTGCAAGAAATCTTAAAAGAAATTCCTTAGAGAGAAGGAAAATTTATAGGTCAGAAACTTGGATCTACATAAAGAAAGGAAGAGCATCTAAGACGGAACAAGTGAAGGTAAAATAAAACTTTTTTTCTTATTCTTAATTGATCTAACAGATAACAGTTTGTTCAAAATAATAATAGTAACAATGTGTTCAATTATGGATGCTTATGTGTATGTCTTACATATAAATGCTTGTGGACGCTGATGTGTGAGTGAGACGAGTGACAGCAATGACACAAGGGTGGAAGGGAGAATCAGGATTGCTTTGTTATTATAAGGTACTCACAGTACCTTATAGTGTTATTTGAAAGTGGACTTGTATCAGCTGTAAATGTATATTGCAAACTCTAGGGCCACCACTAAAAAAAAGTAAAAAAGAATGATAACTTATATGTTAAGAAAGAGAAAATGGAATCACATAAAATGCTCAGTTAAAACCATAAAAGGCAGAAAAAGAATGGAAGATAAAAACAGGAATAATGAACAAGGGCAACAAATAGAAAACAGTAATGGATGGGGTAGATATGAACCAGCTATGTCAATAATCACTCTGAACATCACAGGTCTAAATGCACCAATTAAAACACAGAGATCCTCAGAGTGGATCAAAAAACAAGACCCAAATATCTGTTGTCTACAAGAAACGCACACTTTAAATATAAAGATTAAAAGTATAAAGTATAAAGATTAAAAAATATAAAGATTAAAACATATAGATGAAAAGTAAATGGATAGAGAAAGATAAATGCTACCATTAATCAAAAGAAAGCAGAAGCAGCTATATTAATTTCAGACTGAGTAGACTTCAAAGCAACAAAAGTTACCAAAGATTAAGAGAGCATTACATCATGATAAAGGAGTCAGTTCTCCAAGAAGACACAACAACCCTTACTTAACATGTATGCGCCTAACAACAGAGCATCAAACTATGTGAGGCCAAAATGAATAGAACTTAAAGGAGAAACAGACGAACCCACTGTCATGGTTGGAGACTTCAATACCCCTCTATCACAAAGGGACAGATCTATCAGGCAGAAAATCAGGAAGGACAGAGTGAAAGGTACAGAGAACTACACATCAGTAAGAAAAAGACAGGCAACCTGATTTAAAAAATGTGCTAAAGACTTGAGCAGACACTTCACAAAAAAGGATATCCAAGTGGCCACAGAGACCGAGCAGGCGCCCAACTTCAGGAGTCATCAGGGCGAATAGATGAAAACCTCACTGAGGTATCATCACGCCACCAGAGTGGCTAAAATGAAAAAGGCAGAAAATACCAAGTGTCACTGAGGACTTGGGGAAGTGGAACTCACACACCTCTGGTGGGAACTGACATTAGCACAACTCCTTTGGAAAACTGGCAGTATCTACTAAGGCTGAACACCTCTAATTCTCCTCCCAGGGAAATATCCACCAGCAAGAAGTTCACACAGGCTCCCGAAGACCGTGCACGGCTGTCTTAGCAGAACTACTTGCAGCTCCAAACCACAAACAACCCAAATGCCTGTCCACAGAATGGATAAGCTGCAGCATATTCATAACTGGAATACTATACAGCAGTGGGAACGAATGGACCACTGCTACCTGCAGGCAAAATGCTGGGAAAAAGCCAGACACACTGGGTACATCCTGCAGGATTCCACTTATGTGCTATTTTGAATAGGCCCAAATCATCACCACGACAGAAGTCAGGGTGCAGGCTGCCCTTCAGAGGGCAGGGTCCCCGCTCCATTTCCATCTCTTGATCCACGTGCCAGTTAAATAGGTGGACCCGTGTCCTAAAAATTCCCTGGTGAAGATTTGTGCATGTTCCTATATGCATGTTATATTTCAACACCAATTTGACTTATAAAACATCTTCAGACCTGGCCTCATGGAGTGCTTCTGGGGGAAGACAGATGGAAAGGGAATAATTAAATATGATTAGAAAGGGTGAGAGTACTGTGAAGGAAATATATACACAGGATGAGACTTAACGGGGAATAGCTGGGGGGGGGCACCTTCTTACAAGTGAAGGCTGAGGAGGGGCCAGCCGGATGAGGAGCCAGGAAGAGGGGGGTGTCTGAGGGGCAGAGTGTGGAGAGGGAGGGGCAGAGTGTGGGGAGGGAAGGGTGAGGCCCGACCCTGGTGGGGCTCAATGGATGACACAGGAGGTTGGATTCAAGTGCGCTGGGAGCTATTAAAGGGTGTTAATGTGTGAATGAGTGAGAGACAGAGACAGAGACAAAGAGACCCAGACGTAGTTTCAGGAAGGTCACCCAGCAGGCAGTTGTGTGAAGGACCTCAGAGGGAACCAGAGGAGCAGGGAGACCAGGTAGGAGGCTACTGCACCTGTGCAGGTGAGAAGGGGTGGTCTGAATGCGGCGGCAGTGGAGGAAGTGAGACCCGGATGGATTCGAGTTATATTCTGGGGATAGAAATTACATGTGTCCTGCTCTGTCCTTCAGGTTCCTCCCCTATCTCAGACCTGGTCTTAGGAAAGACCACCATTATACTCAGTACTGAGGGTCTGGAGTCACGGTTTCTTATGTCTGTGTCTCACTGAAGAAATGAATAATATTGAGAGGGCAGGAAGGAAAGTCCCTTAGATCCTGAGAAAGTTCATAAGAAAATACATTAGGGCTGCCTTGGGGGGCCTGAAGTCTGCTTGTCACCAGCACAGCTGAAGTGAAGCCACCTGGGGCTCCTCCTGTGCGGTCTCAGCCTGTCCATCCGGCCTCCCCTCCCTCCCCGGCCCTCTGGCCACGCCACACTCCTCTGCACCAGCCCTGCCTCTGCAGCCTCTGCTTCTGCAAGTGCTGCATTCCCACCTTCCACCCGGCCCTCCGACCAAACTCAGGTCCTTCGGGAGTTTTCCCTCGTGCCCAGTTACTTGCTCTCCCTCCCTATGCTGGATGCCCCAGACCACTAGGGGTGTTCACTAGACTTGCTGTCTGTACACAGCCCCCTGAACCCGCGGGCCAGAGCAGGTAGGAGCCCCGCAGGGGCTGGGACCCGCACCTCTGTGTCCCGACACTGAGCGGTGCCTAGGTGGTGGGTGCTACATAAATCAGTGACCCGGTGAACGGTCTCGGGAGGACACAGACATTCAAATGGATGGCAAAGCAGACCTCTGGCACCCACTGTTGCTGTCCATTTTCCATGCTGTTTCTTCTGCACCCTTCCCACCCCAGCACTGCTCACAGGGCTGGATACCCGAGTCTCCCCAGACTGGGTCTCTTCCCAGCTGTGTCCTCTCAGCGGGTTCCAGCCACATTGCCTAGCACTTGCCAAAATGAACGACCAGACGCATCCGTGTGGCAGCAGCCCTGGGTCCCAGGCCTAGGGAGGGAAGGTGCATGCAGGGACACCACCTGCAGGGCGTTTTAAGTTGGGGGCTGGGACCCAGTCATGCACCATGAGGTCAACTTAGTGGATTGTGACTGGCAATTAAAAAAAATTATATTGGAGCATGCTTTCATGTAGTAAGGGCATCGCTATATCAGAGTATAAACATTGCTTACTGTGGGCTGTGATTTAAGGAAAAAACCCCAAAACTTGAAAGCCACTGGGCTGCAGCATCGGCAGCTTCCGTCCTTTCCAGAAACCTCGGTAGTATGCATTTGGGGATTTGTTGCCCTCTCCAGGGAGAGTGGACTTCAGGTTGCCAACCTTTTTCAGAGTAAGAAGAACATCAGCAGGAGCTAAGGTTTGTGTAGTGCTTTGCGATGTTTACACACACAATCTCATTTTATCCACACAAGCCTGTGAAGAGGGGCAAAGAGGTTGAAGTCTGGGGGGCTGTGTGATCTTGGGCACACTGCTCGACCTCTCTGGGTTTCAGTTCCTTCCCATGTGAAACTGGCTGTGTTGAGGATTAACTGAGACTGTGTGTGCAAAAGGGTTCAGATAGAAACCCTCATCTTCAACCCCCTGAACAAACCAAGAAACCAAGTGACAAGTGACCAACCGGCCTGTTAGCTAGAAAGAGAAAGCCAGAACTTTTCAACCCAGGCCATGTGCACAGCAGCTTCCCACATACGTCCTAACCCCCATAGCAACAGCTAATATGTACTCAGCACTTACCATGTGCCAGGCACTGTTCCAAGTTCTTTATATTTATTTTCTCATTTGATCTTCACAACAATCCTAAGCGACAGGTACCGTTATTTTTCCCATTTTGCAGATGAAGAAACTGAGGCTCAAGGGTTAAGTACATGCTTCAGGTCACATGGCTCTAAGTGGTGACATCAGGGGTCTGGCTCTACAGCTCAAATCCTTATCCCCTGCAGAAGCTGGTCCTGGGCTCAGACCTACCCCTCCCTTACCTCTTGGCTCCGTCCTCGATGGTCTCTCCTTCTTGAACTTTGCCCCCGAAGCCATTCCACCGGCCCACCCCAAAGCCTCTTTTCTTCATGCCCAGGAGAATTCGCTGAGACTGTAGCACCAGTACCAAGGTGTAGAGCCTGGAGGCACCCATGGTCCCCTTGGGTTCTATGAGGAAGGCAAGAGGGCTGGGTCAGCTTGACTTGGGCGTGGATGGAAGCATGTGTACTGCAGTGGCCAGGGTCCAGCTGGAACAGAACTGTGCATTGGAAGGCAGGGAGGGGAAGCTTGGTGGTAATTTCTAAGCTCTGCCATGTGTGGCTTGCCCGGTGCAGGTGGAAGCCTGCCATTGAACAAATGATCTTCTGCGGTAAAAAGAGGCCTGGCCCTCAGAGCCCAGTGGGATCAGTGCCCAGGCCCTTCATTTGCCAGGGCTGATGCAGCAGGTCAGGCGATGGCCACATCTCCCCTTCCCCACTCCTTGGCACAGAGCTGTTCTTCAGAAGTGGGAGGGTAGTCCAGCCTCTGTGCCCCACTGACACCAAGATAACCATGCAGTTTATCCAACGGTTCTTGGGTCAGGCTTTTAGCTTTGGCCTTTTCATTAATGTGGCCTTCTAGGATCTGGCTTCTTCCTCTCTGCAGTAGCAGACCTCCAGATTGCCAAGAAATGCTCCCGACAGTGGAGAGTCCACCCAGCCAGGCCTGGCTGGTCCTCCGTCCTGTGACAGGAGTTCATACTCTGCTCACAACCGTTGCTGCTCTGGGACCTGGCACTCAGAGAGGGCACTGGATCCACAAGGGCCCCTCCTGCTCGAATGCGTGTGCATGGTCCAGCAAGAGACCCTGAGGGTCACATCTGGGTTGCTGCTGGAGAACCAGGACCAAGGTCTCTGTTGATCCATCCCTATCCCAGCCTGGGGCTCATCGAACACAAGTCTCCTACTCCGGGGACCACACCAGATTAGACACAGGATTCAGGACCAGGATCCTCCTGGGAAGTTACTGTGTTTGAGAAAAGGGACCTATAGCTGGGTCCTGGTGGTGGAGGAAGTGGGTATCTGTGGCGGAGACTCCCTTTAGGCCTGCATACTCTGTCCTGACGCTGACCTGTTCACACCCCAAGTCCTGGCTTCCTAAGTAAACTGTGGCGGTGATGAGGATGGATACTGCATATGTCAGCTATCACTTATTAAGCACTGACTATATATTTTTTTTCAAAAATTATCCCATTTAATAGACCCAACAACTCTAAAAACTAACACTTACTTTCTTCATTTTCAGAGGAGGAAACTGAAGCTCAGAGAGGCTAAATAGTGGAGCCAGTACCCAAGCCTGGGTCTACTGGATGTGGAAGTCTAGTTGGCCCACATCTCCCGGAGCAGGCGGCTTGGCACTACGGTTAGACGGATCCTCAGAGAGCCGACCTAATGTCAGGGGCCGGGAGACTGGCAACAGGGCTGGGCAGCCCCACTTGTTAGCCATGTGGCCTCTGAGTCGAGTCGTCTGTAAATTGAGGCCTTTACCAGGGTTGAAAGCGACAATAAACTTAGAGCGCGGGCACTTCCTAAATGTAGGTTCCCTGGCCGTCCCTCCCAGGGGCCCGGCGCCCCCAGGCCCTCACCCCAGTCCTTGATCCATCTCCTGCGGCCTCAGCTAAGCTGCCCCCCACCCCAGACCCGCGCTCCCCTATCCCCGGCTCCCCTGGCCCGCTCGCCCCCTCCCCTATCCCCGGCTCACCCGGCTCACTACCGGTCTCCGCTGGCTGGGGTTCCGCGCGCGCCTTCTGAATCTGCGCGCCGCCGCCGGGGGCGTGGCTTCGAGCCGGAAGCGAGGCGGGCACTTCCGGCAGCAGGGGGCCGGAGCAGGTCTGCACCCATGGCCCGGTGAGCGGGAGTCGGGGAGTGGGGTCCGGGGAGCAGGCCAGGTGAGCCGGGAAGGGGCCGTGGCCGGGGAGAGCGGGGCGTCCGTGCGCTCAGGCGGCGTTTCTGGAGCGCCTGCTGCACGCGTGCGGGAGGCGGGAGTGGCCAGAGGCCGCCCCACTCTTCTTCGTCCGAAGGGGCGCAGGTCCCACCTCTGTCCTGGCCCTGACACGGTCAGCCCGGCGAGGTGGCTCGAGGAGGACTGCAAACACGAAGCCACAGTCGGCGAAGCCTCCCCAGGAGCGACGGGAGGGCAGAGAGCTGTAGAGGGCTTCAGAAGAGGAGGGGCAGGTGAGGGGCCCTGCGGGTAGAGAAGAGGAAGGAACAGGTGAGGCGGCCCTATGGGTAGAGGAGGGACAGGTGAGGTGGCCCTGCGGGTAGAGAAGAGGAGGGACAGATGAGGGGGCCGTGCAGGGAGAAAAGAGGAGGGGCAGGTGAGGTGGCCCTGTAGGGAGAGAAGAGGAGGGGCAGGTGAGCTGGCCGTGCAGGTAGAGAAGAGGAGGGGTTAGGTGAGGGGGCCCTGCAGGTAGAAGTGAAGCTTGTGAAGAGCACGGAGAGGCCCTTCAACTATTCACACAGGTTGATTTCAATTTTATTAAGAAATGTGACAGGTCAGGCCATGTGCTAGCCACTGAAGCCATGGAACTAAGTCACTAAGGCAAGGACCTGTCCTCATGGGGTTTCTCACAGTCTCAGAGCCTAATGAATATTAGCACCAGGTGAGAAAGAATATTATGTTTGCTAATTTTATCAGTACTATTAACCAGTACTGGGAAAATTTTGGTTGATATAAATAAGGTGACTGTCGTTGATTTTTGAGTTTTCCTTTTGAAGAAAACTTCAGGAGAGAAGAAACACTTCTTGACTGAAGGGTGGATGCCTGCTTTGTTAGTTTGCTGGGTCTGCCATAACAGAGCGCCACAGACTGGGTGGCTTAAAGGGCAGAGATGTATTGTCTCACAGTGCTGGAGGCTAGATTTCCAAAATCAAGGTGTCAGTGGGGTTGGTTTCTTCTGAGGCCTGTCTCCTTGACTTGTAGAGAGCTGTCTTCTTGCTCGTCTTTCCTGTGTGTGTGTGTTCTAATTTTCCCTTAATAAGGACACCAGTCATATTGGATTAGGGCCCACCCATATGACCTCATATTAACTTAATTACCTCTTTAAAGACCAGTCATACTTTGAGGTACTAGGGGTTGGGACTTCAACATACGAATTTTCAGCCCATAACACCTGCTTTCTGGCTGTGTAGCCTTGTCAAGTCGCATCCCCTTTTGGGCCTATAAAATGCTTGGGTTGAACCAAGGGCCACACTGAGCTCGTGACCTGTGGGTCTATATGATGCCAACCTGCTTGCTCCCTTTTTCTCTCATCAGGTCCTTGAAGCTGCTGTGTGCTTCCCTTCGGCGTCAAAGCTTCCACACTGCTGGGAGTCACTACAAGGGTCGGACAGGCGCTGAGCACCTGTGGCTGACGCGGCATTTGAAAGACCCGTTTGTGAAGGCTTCGAAGGTGGAGAGTTACCGGTGTCGAAGTGCCTTCAAGCTGCTGGAGGTGAACGAGAGGCACCGGATCCTGCGGCCCGGCCTCCGGGTGTTGGACTGTGGGGCAGCTCCTGGTGCGTGGAGCCAGGTGGCAGTGCAGCGAGTCAATGCTGCAGGCACAGGTGGGGCCTCCTGCTGCTCTTAGGGCCCCTGACCACCAGGAGTCTGTAGATGCCAGCCAGCTGCCTTCTGCCCAGGGATACAGGGCAGCTGAGCCGCTTGGTGAAGGCGCATACTTCTGACTTGGTGGTTTAGTAGTAATAATGGTAAAGATAGGACACTGACATTTTCAAAATGAAAGACAAAGTAGAGAGGTATAAAGAAAATTAAAACCACTTCAGACCACACCACATTAATATGTGCTTTAATATGTTGGTGTGCATCCTTCCGGAATTTGTGTTTGCAAACATAGCTACACATATATAACTTCTTTTTCGAAAGTGATATTACACCACACTCTTGTTGCTGATTTGGAGCCTTAATGGAGCTATTGTTTTCACTTACTGATATATTGCCTTCTTTCTGTGACAGTACAACTGAAGCAACCCCAGAGGTTTCTGGATCCTATTGCTGGAAGCCGTGGGTTTCTTGGAGATCCTGCTGGGGCTGCTCAGGGGAGCCCTCGCAGCCAGGCCTCTGGATTCTCCACTCTGGCTCAACCCAAGGGACTCAGCTTTTATCTGTTTTATATTTTAGGGTTTTGTCAAAGATTTTCTATATCAAAAAGGTTCCCTGACTAATAAACAGATAAACCAACCACCCATAAAATTTAGAAAACTGTGTCATCCTTGTAACTAGCTGCCTAGTATTCTAGAGAATGGCGTGCTGTTGGCAGTTATCCTGGCTCCTCGTCTGGGCGTCAAGGTTGCTTTCCAGTCTTCTGCTACTATGCACAATGTGGGGTGAATATCCTTACCATTAGTATTTCCTGCCAGGAAGTCTGAGGGTGCTGCATCCACTGGCATTGTATGACATGTGACAGTCACAAAGATCTCGCCCAAACATCTTTGAGTGGGGACATTTGTGCCCATTTTCCTAATGAGTAGATTGAGGTTCAGAGGAGTTGAGTGACCTGCTAAAAGTATAGACCTGGGGATGCTGCTCCCCAGGTTCATTCATCAGCCGCATTACTGTGGGTGGGATGCCTTAAGGGGCTCTAGAACAGTCTAAATTTTTTTTAGCTCACTAACTATTTATCGACCAAGTGAATGAAGTTGTGTCAGAAACTTCAGCTCCTTCTCCACTGCTGGGCCCCTCCACAGACTTGCTACCAGCTGGTTTGAGTGGCTGCTGTTCCCCTAACTGCTCTTCAGGAGAAGCGGAAAAGCGGCCAGGTTGAACTTGTAGGAGGAAGTGGCAGAAGCAAGGAGTGTGTGGATAATATGACTTGGTTTCTTTTCCTCCCAGAAGTTGCAAAAATGCGACCAAAGCCGTTTGCCTTGAGTGGACGCTGCTGAGGTTGTGGCACATGGGTGTTAAAGAGGGTCAAGTGCCTAACATGAGATGTGAGCTGTCCCACTTTCCACGGCCGGAAATGGAGAGTTTTCACCTGCAAAATACCTGGACTTCCGATATTTAGAGAGAAATAAAATACACATTTCCCCCCCGCCTTTTATTAAGCAGACTGAGCTAGCAAATCTGTGGCCGTACCCTTACCTTACCCACCCTGATCTGTGTCAGCAGAGCAAAGGTCCCCCTCTGTGGAGGGAAGTGATGCAGAGAGAGGACGTCAGGGCTTGTGAGGAGGAGCGCTTTGAATGTGGGTGCAGTACGAGAGGAGGACGAGGGGGAGGCTGGGGACAGCAGTTGTGCAGGCGCGGTGTCTTGTTTTTGGTAACGTGAAACAATGACATCTTTTCTGTCACAGTGGCTATCACTCAAATATGGCAAGACATTACTTTTGGTACCTTATTTGGCATCTCTCTATCTTCCCCTTCTCTGGCTTGTTTCTAATAGTTTCTATATCAAAAGAGATTGGATTAAGCTGCAGAATGGATTTGTTGATTTAATCCAGAGGCACTTGATATATGAGTGTGTCATTTTCTATTTTAGTTTATCACAAAGACCACTCAGAGATAAGAACCCTTTCACGGAGAGCAAGCCTCATGGAGTGAAATGAAATCAGACATGAAGTCAAGTCTCAGGGTGTGGCTCCAGGTCTGCCTATCTCTCCCTGTGACTCTGGGACAGTCACTTTTCCTCTTGGCCTCAGTTTCCTCAGATGCAGAGTGAAGGACCACCAATCCCCACCATGTGTTTTTATAGGATGTATAGAAAGTGGGAAAAAGCCTGTGTCTGCATATTTGCACAGTAGCTCTTTTCCTTTGTCCTGACTTTTTATTTCTACTTCATTATTTTGTTGCATGTATTTTTGTGGGAAGATGCAAGGTGCAAATAAATAACGCATTCACCATTTCTTCCTTAGATCCCAGCGCTCCTGTTGGCTTTGTACTTGGGGTAGATCTTCTTCACATCTTCCCCCTGGAAGGAGCAACTTTTCTGTGCCCTGCTGATGTGACTGACCCAAGAACCTTCCAAAGAATCCGAGAACTGCTTCCTGGTGGGAGAGCAGATGTGATTCTGAGTGACATGGCACCCAATGCCACAGGGATCCGAGGCCTCGATCACGACAGGCTCATCAGTCTGTGCTTGTCCCTTCTGGACTTGGCTCCAGACATCCTGCACCCCGGAGGAACATTCCTTTGTAAAACCTGGGCTGGAAGTCAAAGCCATCGGTTACAGAAGAGACTGACAGAGGAGTTCCAGAACACAAGGACTGTGAAACCTGAAGCCAGCAGGAAAGAGTCATCAGAGGTGTACCTCTTGGCCACACAATACCGAAGAGTGAAGGGGTCTGTGAAGGACTGAGAGTTTCTTCTGCCTCTTCTGGTCCTTTTTCACTGCAAATGTAGCCTGAGCTCTTTCCTGAAGTGTGGCTGGGGAGATGGAGCTTGATCTGATCTGGGAGATGCGGCAAGCAGGACAAGTGGGGGACCTTTTTTTTTTTTAAAAACCAAAAAGATAGGACAAAACTATATTCAGTGTCCAGTGTCCACGATATATGGTAAACAGCAGTCTCTCTAACATGATTTGTGAAGAGGACGTTATGAGAAGGAGACAGGCAAAGATAAAAGGATGAGAAGACAGTGAGAAGGATAAACACGAATACGCTGAGACAGACAGACAGACATTCACACACCTGTATGTCACTTCTCATCTTACAGACTGTTAGCATGTACAGAGAAACAGGTTTCCACCATGGCTCCAAGAACACAGCACACAGGTTTCCAGTTGTTATTTTGGCTATACAGTGCGATGTAGAAAAATCTGAAATTTCAGACTGGAGATTAATTTCCATTTCTTTGGTGAATGATCTAGAAACATCCATTCTTCAAGCAGTGAGAGTTCCCAGAGCAATGAGGGAAGACATTTGGTATGAATTATGCATGGGGTGGGTGCGCTTTGGTTTTTCCTGCGAATGTGTGTTGCTGTAATGCTCCAGGCTCCCAAGACCATAAAGGTAATTGCCAAAGCAAGCTGCGATGTGGTGTGTTCATTTATTTCCTTTTATTCTCCTCCAGGAACTTGGTGCTGCTTTGTAAAACTATATAGATTGTGTCATCTTGAGGGATTTCCATTTTTAAAAAAATCTGCTGGTTTCTTCAAAGTCATTTGTGGAGGTGTGTTTATCCCTCGACAAGTTCGTTGACTGTGAGGATGATTACATCCCAAAGACCAGCTGCGGAAGAAATGGTAGATGCCCAGGAATCTCCAGGAGTCCCAGGGCTTGGTCCAGCTCCCTGGAGTACGCTGCAGGCCGGATTTTAAAGTTATTCATTTTACTTTTGGCTGTAGTCAGTTGAGTACAGAGAACCTCTTCCCCATCGTCCCTGTCCCCATCGCATTGAATTCCCGGGGCACACAAACGAGTATTGTGTCTGGAAGAAGGGTATTCAGCGACGACCCTGGGGCGCTCAGCCCCGGCCTGGGGGTGCAGGGAGGAGGAGGGATGAGAACCCAGAAACAGTGATACCCAAGTTACAGGACGGGGTTGCTCTAGTTCAAGAGGGGCCTGTTGGCTGTTGCGCCCTGAGAACAGGGTGAGAGGGGGTCAGACGGGGGGACCCTGGCGGCCCACAGGGCAGGGGGAGGAAGGCCTAGTAGCATGGTACTTTACTTTTCCCAGTGGGCCCAGAGAAAAGTAAAAGAACGCGCTAACTCAAGCTAATACCACAGTAGCAAAATGTGGGGACCAGTCGAAAGTGCAGGAAAGTTTGGCCCTCCGAGGCCACCGTCGGGCGGTGCTCTTCCACACTGTACGGTGCGAGGCAACCGCCTCAGTGGAAGCCCATCCTACGGGGGCAGGGCACCCGGACAGTCCGCGGTCCGGCATTCGGTCTCGAGCGGTGTGCCCCGGGGTGGGGGCTCCAAAGGGCGACGCGGAGGCCCCGGAACCCACCGGTGCGCAGACCCGGAGCTCCACCGCCAGCCCCGCCTAGGTCTCGCGAGAGCGCAGCCACACGTCTCGCGATACGCGGGCGCGGATGGAGAGGAGGGAGATCTGAGAGGCGGCGGCGGCGGCGGTGGTGAGGTGAGGTGAGCGGCTGGGTGAGCGCGGCGGCGGGGGTCCCGGGTGGGCGCCGGGGCGGGAGGCTGGGAGGGGCAGCCCGTTGGGGCCTGGGCTGCAAGTGCCTGCCCGGGCTGGGGCCAGGGCTGCCCGCCGTGGCTGGGCGCGGGTGCCGCTCCCTCTGTCCGCCCCTGGGGCCCTGACCGGCGCCCCTTCCACGCCCCCTCTGCTCCCGGCGCCGTCCCGCTGAGCCTGGGGCGGGCTCCGAGCCCCGGCTTCTCTCGGCGGCCCCTGCGGGGGACTCCCTCCCTCCGAGGGGTAGCAGCGGGGAATGGCCAGTGTCCGCGAGGGCCGGGGCGCCCACGGAGGAGGGGCTCTTCACCTGTCCGCTCTCCCCGGCTGGTCCTCAGGCGCAGGCGGCCTCCCCCGAGACTGTCCAGGGGAAGAGATGCTCTTCCCTCGGGTGCCGCCCCTGAGCGGTGACCAGCGCTGTCCCCTGCGCCTCTTCAGTTGAGCAGTGTGGTAGTGCTGCCACTTCGCTTTACAACTAAGGAGACCGGCGGGAAGATTGGAGGTGACTTGCCCAGAGTCACGTTGCCTGCAGCTCGTCGAATGAGGGCTTGCGTTTCACACCTAGTATGAGTTTGGAGAAAGCAGAAAAAGCGGGTGGCGAACTATCAGGCCCGCGTGATGGTGCCCGTGGCGGCGTGAAGTGGTGTCGCGGAGTGATGAGCAGCCTCGTAATTTCTTTAGGTTTCCGCAGCCATCGTTTTGCCAAGGACGGGAAGGGCAGGGGAGAGGCAGCGTGCTCTGGACTCCCAGCTCCAGGTTTCTGTTGAGAGGGGTTCAGATTCAGTGGTTAGGTGGCTGGAAGATTTGTCTCTTGGATAAGGAGGATGAAGTTTGAGCTGCTGCCTTATCGCCTGCCTTATGGAGCGGCTTAGTTCCAGACAGTTGAAAATGTATGTGTTCTTTTTCATTCTAGTGTATTACGTCCATCAGTTCTTACCCGGGATGCCTCTCCAGAAGAGGATATGTTGGCTAAATTTCCCATCATGGGATGGAGAGTATGGCTCTGGTCTAATCTTGGCAAATGGAAGGATTTGCTGTCCAGAGCAGAGTGATGCTGCCTCCCACCATGCAGGCCTATATGTGCGAGGCTCAGGGCACTTGGGTGCTTCTGTTCTCTCTTCCAACCCATTTCCACTGATAGTAGGGATGAGAGGTGGGGCAAACAGGTATGATGTTCAGAGATGGGAACGATGGCCTGCAGAAGACAAGGGCTGTGCATGCACAAGGCCAGTGTCCTTGTTAAATGGGAAATTCAGAATCTAAGATTCTGCATCTTCTTTTTGAGTGGGGAGAGGTGTTTTCAGTCTAATACGTAGGGGAAATCAGTGAGAGCCGGCTGTTTTCCTAAGGGGAAAAAACAGTGCACCTGTAGGCATTCATACCTTCTGGCTATTGACTGTGCCTGGGACACTCCACGCCTTCTGGCTGTTAGACGGCCTGGTGTGAGGCGTAATAAGCACAGGTTTGGAGATGCAGGTTCTTTGCCGCTGCTTGTCTTCGGCCCTTCATACATTTGCTTGTGGAACACACTCAACCTTTGGAGCCAGAGACACCCGCGTTCCAATCTCAGTTCAGTAAGTTTTTGAAGCCTCCTCTTATATCATCTCTAAAATAAGCGTGAAAGACCTAATTAATCTGCCTGTTGTGAAGATTGATATGTCCTGTGTAAAATTACAAGCAGAATGATAGTCAAAAGTGTGACAACAGTCGCACCATCTGCCCTCTGGAGACTTCTTATAGACACTGTAATCCTTACAACTTTGCAAAGTGGGTTTCATGATCCTCAGTTTACAGATGAGGAAACTGAGGCTCAAGAAGTCTCCATGCTCAGTAAATGTCGGATACCTTTCTTTTTGGTACCTGGTTGGAAATAGTAGTAATCTTATTAGTGTCATTGTTAACGTATATTATAATTAGCGTTGCTATGGTCATCATCCTTATTGCCACTGTTGTGGCTCTGTTTCTGATTCCCAGAGGCCAGACTTTTTGTGAGTGTTTATGTGGGAGATGTGCCACCTGCCTGCTGACCACCTCCTGCTGGGAGCTGGTGTGCTGGCAACACTCTGACTGTCAGTGACTTTGTGGTGTGTTGTCTTTTTATGCGTCCATCTCTTCTCTGATAAATTGGCAGTATGTGCTCCCACTTAATCCCGAAGAATGTGGTTATGGACACTGGAATATTTTAAGGTCTCTGAGAGAGCGTTAAGGGAGTGGGACTGCCCAAAGGTACCCCCTCAGCGGGCAGCTGTCAGAGCTGATGGCACATGGAAATGTTCACTGTGACCCTGCCCTTGTCTTCCTCCAGAAGGGAAATGGCCATGGAGGACCTGGGGGAAAACACCACCGTCCTATCCACCCTGAGATCTTTGAACAACTTCATTTCTCAAAGAGTGGAGGGAGGATCTGGATTGGATGTTTCCAGCTCTGCCCAGGGTTCTCTGCAGATGCAGTACCAGCAGAGCATGCAGGTGAGTGCCGTGTGTCAGGATAGGGGTCTCTAGATAAGGACATCTGCTCTGGGCCTGTCCAAGCTCCATAGAATTCAAGTGAGTGCCGAGTGTCGGGATAGGGGTCTGTAGGTGAAGACGCCTGCCCTTAGGTGGGGCCTCTTCAAGCTCCATATACTTCAAGTGAGTGGCATGTGTCAGGATAGGGGTCTCTAGGTAAGGACATCTGCCATTACGTGGGGCCTCTTCAAGCTCCGTAGAGTTCAGATGAGCGGGTGTTTCAGGACAGGGGTCTCTGAAGACACTTGTCCTTATGTGGGGCTGGTTCAAGCTCCACAGGGTTCAGATGAATAGCGTGTGTTGGAATAGGGGTCACTAGGCAAAGACACCTGTCCTTTGGTGGGGCCTGTTCAAGTTCCATTGAGTTGAGGCAGATCAGTGTCTCTGCAGCCTAGAGGCCAGCTGGCCGTCTCCCAGGTCTCCAACGTGGGCATTCACAGTTTTGGGAAGATAGCTGGAGGCCACGGTCTGGCCCTGAACTGTCCTGGCTTCCAGCCTGATTAATCAGCACCCCAGAGTGGGTCTGGTACTCAGCAGTGCTCACACCAGTGAGCTCACAGACACTAATGATAGGGGGATAAAGCCAGTTTATTCATTTCATTGATGGAAAAACCCCAAACTGCCTGGGAGCATGACCACCAGCATTCTCCAGCCAGCTGCTGGCTTCCTTGAAGTGGAGTACCTGGGAAGGCTATGTTGTAAACACAGGCTCGTGGTCAGCCTAGCTGGAAAGCCAGGGCAGTGGGTGACGGATCGGGTGTGTAATGGTCTCAGACTATGGGGGGCCATTTGCAGATTTTTGCTTCAGTCTGTCATGGGGTGATTTTTACAGTTTTACTCTGATTCTAGTCTTATTTCACTTTATTCCAAGTTCTTGGCAGTGCTCACTGAAGACACATTGTAAGGAGGTCAGGTCTCCTGAAGGACTTCAGGTTCCAAAGAGTTGTGGGGTCAGTGCCAGTGGGGCAGGGATCACTGGGGCCACACAGGAAGGGGGATGTGGTGTCTGCAGCCTTGCTCAGGCCCCGGCCTCTCTGCATAGACGGCTGCATCAGGCAGTCCCTGGCTTCTCTGCTTGGATTCCTCCTTCCTGTCAACCCTGTATGTGCTGCTGGAGCCGTTCCGTGATAACATCCTGGGTCAGACGAGCAAAGGGTTTCCTGTCGCTCCAGGAGCCCTGAGGAGGCACATGCCATGCAGCATTTGGGAAAACACACGCGGTATGTTTGTGTGCCTTCATTTGCTGAGTGATTGATTTACCGTATGCTTGCTGGTGGGCTGACTTGCTCACTGCCCTTTTTTGGCAAGGATTGTTCTTTATTCTGAAATTAGGTCTTTTATATTTGTCTTTGGTGTTAAAACACATTTTTTGAAATAAAGATGGTAATAGATTGTAGTTTTGATCCTTACTCACTGGCAAAATAAGAAGTTGGCAACTTTGGTCTAAGAAAGTGTTAGAATTGCCTGTCGGTCAGAGCTGTAGAATCTAGAATTCCAGAGGTCCCTAGTTTTCACTCAGTGCTGTTAAGGCTTCCCCAGTTGGGGGATCAGTAAATGAGTGGTGTAGTCAGAGCAAGCTGTTAGAGTCATGTGGCTACAAGATCTGCCTCTGGCCCTGAACTTAGCCCTGTCCTGTCCCAGGACTTCAGTCAGGGGTGCCCTCTTTCCTACCATGCCTCCATTTCCTACCAGTGAGGGAACTGAGACCCGACAGGTCTGGGGAGCCTGGAGGAGAGATCAGTATGTCTTACTTGCCAGTCCCCTCCCCCCTCCATTTTTTTTTTTTTTGCTGAGGAGGATTGGCCCTGAGCTAACATCTGTTGCCAATCTTTCTCTTTTTGCTGAGGAAGATTGGCTCTAAGCTAACGTCTGTGCCAATCTTCCTCTGTTTTGTATGTGGGATATTGTTGCAGCATGGCTTGATGAGCGGTGTGTCGGTCCATGCCCAGGATTTGAACCTGCAAACCCTGGGCCGCTGAAGCTAAGCACATGAACTTAACCACTATGCCACCGGGCCGCCCCCCCCCCCCCTTTTAATTAAAGTTCCTGTTTCCGTTTGAAAGTGTTTATAGTCTGCTCTGTTACACATCAGTGTTGGCTTAAATATAACAATAATGTTTCAGTTATTTTCCTTCAGATACAGTCAATGTTCCAGCAAGATATGGCCCATGGACCCATGTTTCTAGAACTCCTGGTCCCTGTGCAGTGGTGCCCCCGGAACTGGGGTCCCGCCGTGCTTTGGAGAAGCTGGGCCCTGGCTGCAGACACAGTGAGACTAGGAAGGCTAGTGAGTTTGATAGGTAGAGTTAGGAGCCCCCAAATGTCAAGAGGTGGGGATTGAAATGAGAAAATATCAGAGGGGTCAAAAAGGGTGGACTTGGGCCCCCAAAGAGTTGGGGGGAGGTGGAGAGGATGCCTTTTCTCTGGCCCAGGATTGCTCACCCTCGGCACTATTGACATTTTGGGCTGGGTAAGTCTTTGTTTTGCAGGACTTGGCTGTGCCTTGTAGGAAGGTTAGCAGCGTCCCTGGTCTCTACCCAGTAGATGCCAGTAGCAAATGCATACTACCACCCCCTCTTGTGAGAGTCACCAGTGTCTCTAGACACTGACATGTCTCCTTGATTGAATTGAGAGCCACATGCTTTAGCCCATGCTTCCCGAACTTTAATGTGCATGTGAGTCCTCTGAGAATATGTTTAAAAGGAAGATTCTGATTCGATATCTCTGGGATGCAGCCCGAGAGTTTGCATTTCTTTGAGTGCCTGGGAGATGCTGTGCTGCTGGACTGCAGGCCGTTCTTGGAGTGGCCAGCCTCTAGCCCACGTGCAGAAGAGACCCTTACAATCAGTGATTCTGGGAAACTGTTTGGCGTGTCTTCTGAGGCCCTTCAAGGCTTGAACTCGCCTTTATTTACCTACCCTCTGTGGGAGGCTGGCTTCTAAATGGCCCCCAAATTCCCCACCCCTGGTGGACCGCACTTTCTCCCACTTAATCAAACGCTGACTAGGTGTTGTGGCAATGGGATTTTGCAGATATAATTAAGATCTCAAATCAGTCGACCTTAAGATAGGGAGAGTACCTGTGTGAGCTGACCTAATCAGGTGAGCCTTTTGAATCTGGGTGGAGAGATCAGACAGAAGTTAGATGCAGAGCAGAGTGAGAGAGGGCTTCCACATGGAGATTCTCCCTTATTGGCATTGGATGGGAGAGGGCCACATGGCAAGGAATACGGGTGGCTTCTAGGAGCTGACAGCAGCCCTGGGCTAACAGGCAGCAAGGAAATGGGACCTCAGGCCTATAGTCACGTGAGCTTGGACGAGGATCCTGAGCTCCAGATGAGAACACAGCCTGGCTGACTGTTGTTGTGGCCTGTTAGACTCTGATCAGAGAACGCGGCCCTGTGTGCCTTCTGACCCAGAGAACTGACAGTTAATATACGGGTATTCTGTGCTGCTAAGTTCATGGTAATTTGTTACACAGCAGTAGGGAACTAATATACCGTCTTTTCTATAACAAGCCTACACACTGTCATCTTAAAGCATGCCTTCCGTTTCTCATTCCTTATCATCTCTTTGCTGCCTCCCTGCACCTATTTCCCAACTAGAGACCCAGTGTTCTTCCTTCTTCCCTAAGGCTGAGCACAGAGCCTTATTGCGAGCTCAGTGAGTGAGTGATAAATGAGCCACTCGTCTGTTTGATGCAGCTACTAAGGATTCTCTCTTTCCTTTGGGTGTGACCTGGTCAGTTGGAGGAACGGGCAGAGCAGATCCGTTCGAAGTCGCATCTCATCCAGATGGAGCGAGAGAAGATGCAGATGGAGCTGAGTCACAAGAGGGCTAGAGTGGAGTTGGAGCGAGTGGCCAGCACCAGTGCCAGGAGCTATGAGGTGGGTTCAGGCCGGCCAGCCCCTGGAGCAAGGGGGTTGTGCACGATACCTGCCAGACCGTACGAAATAAGAGCCTCACTAGCTGGGAGTCCAGGCGCTCTACCTCTGTGTTGCCAGGGCCTTCCTTATTAGGCCATAGATATCAACTGTGCTCTACATCCTCGAGGAGGGCACTATGCAGGGGACACCTGTGAAGGGACAGCTGCCCTGCCGTGTCTACCCGGTGAGGTGCTGGTAGGCATTCTTCTCTGCTGGGTCTCCTGGTTTCCCCCTCCCTCTGGAAGAATTGGGATGCAGATCTGGCAGAAATACCAGGTGGCATGAGAGTGACAGGCTTAGAAAGTCACTGGGTTGTGTAAGGGTCTCAGATCCCGGCTGGGTCTTGCTCACATGGGTTATCGGGCCTCAGAGCAAAGAGCCCCAATCTCAGGGCTGCTTCCTATTGCCCCTGGCTTACCCAGGGCAGGCTGGGAACGTGTACCCCCCGATTACCCAGAGAAGGTGCTAGGTTTTTACTTGGTGCATAAATCCCTCGCGCCCTGTGTTTTGATTAACAGCACTTTGCCAGGGTTTTTCAATAAGTGCTGATGGGTTGTGGAAATACTGCCAAGATTCAGGCAGAGCGTGGGACCAGAAAGTCTCTGGCCTCTCTGCATGTCTGGCCTCATTCTTGCCTTATGTGGCGTATTCGCGTGCTATCCTAGTCCCTATAAAGATAGCTGATGTCTTCCAGGGTGTGATGCTAATTGGATGTATTCGGACCCAATATGCAGACTCCCGGCTGTGGTGTGTAGTGTGGCTCAGTAGCTCAGAGACGTGGTCTGTGGGTAGGGTAGCGCTGGTTTGGCATTGGCCTTGGGGCTGCTCTAAGTGGTGTTTTTCTGCGAGGTAGGGCTTTCGCTGATGCTGATGTTCTGCGTCATCCTAGGAGGGACAGTCCTGCGGGAACTGGTGGGAAGGGGGAGGGAGAGGCCATGGGAATCTCGTAAGTATTGAAGTGCCCTTATTAGGCTGGGCAGGTGGCACCAGGGCCATCAGACTGTAGGAGTGCGGTGTTGGTGTGCTTCCCTGGCTCTCAGGTAGAAGGCACGGGATGTGGGGCTATTGGAGTCTCTCTGGGTCATGAGTCCTTGAGGACAGGGCCTGTCCTGACTGCCCTGGATCTCCAGTGGGTGCTGGCACCTTACAGGTGCTCAGAAAACATTTGAATGAGGCCGGGATTGTTGTAGGGTCCCTGAAAGTCTTTCTTGGGGAAATGCAAGGGTGCAGGGCTGACCAAACCTAATCCTGGGGCCCTCGCTGAACTGGGGCCTCCCTCTGAGAGGCCTTTCCTTCCCTGCCCACAGACACAGCTGAAGGCGACCCCGGAACCATCTGAGCCAGTGGATTTTAAATTGTTCCTTTGAATCTGGGGCGTCTGCAGTGGTTTTTCGGGGCCTGCCAGTTTGGCAGTGGATGGGGAGGACAGGTGAGTGGGAATCTCAGCCCTCCCACCTGGAAATACCTATTAGATGGTGAGACTTTGGTGTCTGAGGTCTCGGGACCTGCCTGGACTGCCCCATGTGCACTTGGGACTGGCAGCCCAAGTAGAGGTGCCACATCCTGGCCTGGGATGTGCCTACCAGGTCCCTGCACAGCCAAGGCACCCTAGCTCCTGCCTTGCAGAAGGGTCCCTTGGCTGTTTGGAGGCTGTATTTGCGGCTCCTCATCCCCCTGAGTTCCTTTGAGTCTTGGATCAGCTTCCCTCGAGGAGGCCAAGACCCTGTCTCTGCTTTTATTAAGCCCCTCCTTGGTGCTGGGCTGGCGGGTCCAGGTGTAAGCATATACTCTGAGTAAGGTGGGCCTTGAAAGTACCTTGTGGTCCTTGGAGGGAGCTTCTCCACTCTGCCTCCTGATAAGAGGTCAGAGGTGTGCAGTGTTAGGCCCCATGTAACCAGCTCTCACTACCTTTGCTCCTGGGATTCTGGCTCCCAGTTGGTGGTCCCTTTGCCTCTCTGGCTGAGGGTAACCTCCTCAGTGGCTGACAGTTGAACCTTAAGACCCCCAGAGATCATCAGAGAGAGGAGTCTTAGTTCTGTGCCTTCCTTACCAGCACGAGCCACACAGCCCCCGAGGGTATGAGTACAGGGTGGCTCTGAAGATTTGCGGGAGATAATGTGCCCTCACGGCAGATTGGGGCCCGGGTCAGCTGTTCCTGTCTGCAGGCTCATGTCCACGCCGCCTGTCCCTGCCCAGTCGTCTGCTCATTGAGGGGGTGCCGACTCATTGTAACGGTAGCCTGAGTGCAGTTAAATGAAAGCTGCTGGCGCTGCCAAGCTCTGAGGCTGCTTTCCAAGGTCGAGTCTGAGTTCGAGGTTTCCATGCTCCATCTCCTCCCTGCAGATGGTCACTGTGAGCAGCCAGTTAATGACAGTGGGGGGTGATGCATGCCGAGTGCCCTCCCAGAGGGGCCTGGCCTCTTACCCGTCTGCTGCCGTGGCTGGAGCACTTGCGTTGGATGGGGTCCTGGCTCTTGCCCTGGGTCTGCTCCTGGCTCCTCGGTGGCTCTTCTCTGGGTCTCAGTCCTGTCCTGAGGGAGGAGTGGAGTGGGGTCTCCCTGCTCTGACCCACTCTCACCACTTCCTCCCCTCTTGGCAGCGTGAGGTGGACCGCAACCAGGAGCTCCTGACACGCATTCGGCAGCTTCAGGAGCGGGAGGCCGAGGTGGAGGAAAAGATGAAGGAGCAGCTAGAGCGCAACAGGCTGTGTAAGCAGAGCCTGGATGCGGCCGGCAAGAAGCTGCGGGAGAAGGAGGACGGCCTGGCGGAAGCTGGCGAGGTGAGGGGCCCTGCAGGGGCCGCACTCTCTCCCCTAGCCATTTTTCCAGGGAGAAGAGTGAATGCGCTCCAGACTCCCCCTGTAGCTCCCTGATATTTTCATTTCATAATTCTCCTTCCCACACGGGTGCCTTCATTTTTTACATACTTGTAATCATAGTAAAAATATTAATTTTCCATTCTATGGTTTTCAGTTAATAAGTTGAGCACTTTTTTAGTCTTTGTAATTATGATTTTTAATAGTTGACTATCTATATTTTATCATTTCTAAATATTTTGTTTTTTCTACACACATGCTAATGTACATGCGTATGTATGTGGCAGCTAGCTTCACATACGTAGCCTTTTTGCCTCTGTTGAATTATTTTATTTGGACAAGTGCCTAGGAGTGGGTCATAAGATCACCAGTTGTAGCTCGCTCTATGGCTTGCCACGAGGTGCCGTGTTGTGCTAACAGCGTTTTTGAGCATTCGAGTTTCCCTGTAGTCTTACCTGTCGTGGATGGTGATGTTTTCTGGAAATACTTGTGGTTTTTTTCTTCAGAAGATGTAATTAGGTGCCTCTGGGTTTGCATTTCTTTGATTATTAGCAAGGTCTATTAGCATCTGAGAGTATCTTTGAAACCAGAGCATATACCAACTGTAGTCCTTACTGTTTCTACCAAGGTTGTATAAATTTTAGAAACAGAGCCCAAACATTGATGCTGAGGGAAATTGGACTCTTCTGACCTTTCCTGTCCCTTTGCTGTGCTGCTCGAGATCACAGGAGCTGCAAGGAAAAAGATGAAATGCTGCCAAGGGAGGAGTTGAGGGTGTGGGATCATTGGTATTCTGTCTCTGCCTGGTTTTCTCCACTTGATAGATCTTTGGAAGCAGGCTCCAGGTTATTTTTGCCTTGGCAACGCTGGAGAGCATGTTAAGGTTGTTCCTACATCTGTCTTCTGATGTGGATGTTGGCAGGAGAGGAGCTGTGATCGGCCTGAAGACAAGTCCCTGCTCGTCCTTGGTGTGCTTCCCTGTGCTGTGTTCTGGTGGGGGCATGGGGACTCGTGGGGGAGGGCAAGTCTTGCACACTGTCCACTGAGGAGCAAGATAGGGAGACACTTCCATAGAAGTCACAGCTGGATGCCGAATGGAGCCAGCCTGGGAAAGGTCATGCCAGTTGGGCAGAGGACCCCGAATGGTCACTCAGTCTAAGGTTGTAACACCCCCCACCTAACTGCGTTCTCTTATCACAGTGCCCTGGTTCGTACGCTTGTCACTATGAAGTTGTCTTGTTGATGGCCTGGCTTCCCCATAGCTTTGTCCTCCATAGGGTTGGCTGTCTGACCCCTGTGGCCAGCACAGCCTGGTGCCCAGTGTGCGTTTATTGAATTCAGGAAGACTTCTCAAAGGAGATGTTCATTGTTAAAGACGTTTTCAGTGCCTTCATTCTTTTTTGATTCCCACATTGATACTCACTGTTGTAATAAACCGTGTAGATCGACAGTGCGGGACGCAGACGCACCGTGTTAGCCTCCCTGGGGGCATGTGGGCAGACAGTGCTGATGCATTTAAACAGGTCCTGGGTTGGTGCAGATTCTCGTGGCCAGGTGAACGAGTGCCGTGGCCCTGTTTGCAGAGGCAGCCCCCCAGGGACTGCCAGGTGTTGTGTACTATACTGAGTCTGCAGGTCTGGTTCTTGTCCTTGGCTCTCCTCAGCTCTCAGAGGCTGTGTGGCCACGTTTCCGCTTAACTTACAGTGACGCTCCTGAGAGGTGTGGGTTTTCTTGTTGGCTTGACTGTCATGCTCTCTTCCTCTGGGGAAGCCACAAGGGTAGTGCGGTCACCAGAAGGTTGCCTGGTGAGGGTGCAGTCCGAGCTAAGGGTGGCTGTTCTGCCCCCGAATGTCCCCTGGGCTTGCTGTCCTTTGGGCTCTGCTCAGGGGCGGCCTCCCCAGGCCTCTGCTTCCCTTTCTGACCACTTGTGGCCTGGGAGCGCCTCAGTCTCCACAGCGTTCTTGCAACTCCTCTCCATTCTGTGTGGCTCTTGTAGCGTCATTCTGAGGACAGCCTTAATCCCTCATTTCCAACTTCTTGGCAGGTACTTGGCTGTGGGGCATAGGTAGTGTCTTTGGTAAGTTGCTGGAATGGTGGCATGTGGGGGGTTAGAGAAGGAATTCCAGGCTGAGAGATGAGAACAGGGTGTGGAGGGAGAACTATGCAGAGCATGCCAGGACTGGTGAGGGTCCAAGGTGACAGGACATGGGGCACGTGTAGACGCTTTGTGGGAAGGGACGTCATGGGGGCATGGGTATGGAGGCCCAAGTGTGAGGCCAGGCCTGTCTTGGCCAGCAGCAGGTCTTGCTCCTGAGACCACCTGTCACTGTGACCCAGTGTCTTCCTGTTGGCTTGTGGGAAATGCAGGGCTCGGGCTGGTGTGCTCTGAGGTTGGGTTGAAGGGTGGTGTCTGGTCTGCCCCGGTCATGTGTTCTGCAGGAGAAGATGGCTCTGTCCTGTCCTTGGGAGGGGACAGGCTCTTGTGAGGGTGTTTGTCCCGTCCGTTTCTGTATGTGATGCTCACTTGCGTTTGTGCATCAGGAGCCTCAGTGAGCAGCTCTTGTCTGCCCTTCTCTGCTTTCAGACCATCAGTGCACTCAAGGGGAGGATCTCCGAATTGCAGTGGAGTGTGATGAACCAGGAGATGCAGGTGAAGAGCCTGGAGTCGGAGAAGCAGGAGCTGAAGGAGCAGCTGGACTTGCAGCACAAGTGAGTGAGTGTGGAGTGGGCAGGGCCCCTTTGCCAGGGGAGCCTGCCCACCTGTCGCCCTGGATTTAGTTAGCCTGAAGGGCTGTGTGCTAAGCTGGATGTCCAGTTGTTAACCATGTGGAAGCCACAAATAGGAAGTCCCAGGTTTGTCATCCTGTGCCCTCTGGTCTGGGCACCCAGTGTTCACGAACGTTGTGTGCACTGAAGCTCTGAGAATCTGCACGTGTCCCTTCAGATGCTCTCCTCCCAGTCCACAGACTGTCTGGGGGACAGACACTGGGGCGACAGAGGCCGGGGCCTCTGAAACCAGGATGGTAAGTGCCAGAACAGAGCAGTGATTGAAATGTTCTGAGCACAAGAAGAGGGAGCGGTCATTTCTTCCCTCCGCAGGGGGTGGGACTCCTGCTCAGAGAGAGCTTCTGGTGAAGATACTCTGTTTGAGCTAGATTTTAAAGGCTGTGTAGGACATCCCCTGGGGTGGGTGGGATGTGGTTGGGAAAGGGCGTTTTAGGTAGAGGAACATTCTGAGCAAGGGCACCGAAGTGTGAAAAAACTTGCCTGGAGATGAGGGCAGAAGACTGAATACTCTCCCTAAGAATTTGGACTTTACCGTAGTAGCTGTTGTCTTAGGAGAGTTCCGGCCACTTGGTGGAGTTGGGGGTCAGTTGTGAGTGTGTTCTTGGCTGTGGCTGTACCAGGGCCAGTGGAAGCTGCAGTTGTGAGCAGCTCTTGGGAGGGAGGAGAGCTATTGGGCACCAAGGCTGTAAAGGACCTTGCAGGTGTTCTGGACTTACCTGCCCTGTCCCCGTGAGGCAACTGAGGCCACGGAGCCACTGGCAGGGACTACAGTCTAGTATCCTGGGGTGTCCCTGCAGGGAGTGTACAGGGGTGTGTGTGTGTGCATGTGCGTGTGTCGACACTGAAGAGCTTTTAGGATGAGGGAATCGTTGGTCTCACCACATACCTGTTTCTGCACATGATACACCTTTCTCTTCATAGAAAATGGCAGGAAGCGAATGAGAAGATTCAGGAACTCCAGGCCAGCCAGGAGATGAGGGCAGACCAGGAGCAGAGGATTAAGGTGAGCTACTCCGGGTCAGTCCCTGGCCTGAGTCAGGGAGACATCCCAGTGGTGGGCTCAGCCCTCCTGCCCACCTAGCTGTTTCTGAGCTGGGGGTGTGCTGAGTGGCCTCTGGGGACACTCAGCTGCCTGTGCCCGCTGTAGCTGTTTACGCTGATTGATTGTTGAGGGCTGGGGATGCTGCTGTGAGTAAGAGACAGTTTCTGCTCCCAGGGAGCTCGCATTCTAGTGGATGAAGATGGACAGCAAATACACAAAGGAAAAGTCAACATATGATGGCTTCAAGCACCGATGAGTGCTGTGAAGGTGGTATGCTAGCTTCGCGAGGTCGAAACACCTGCCCCACACTGTATAGCTAGTGTGGACTAAGCTGGCTCTCAAAGCAGGTCGGCCTGACTTCACTGTGGAGGAATGCTGCCAGGGGGACGGTGACTCCAGGTCACTGGCATGGCTGCCCATTGCCTGTAGAGTAATATCTCAACTCTGGGCCCCCGCCTGTATGATCCGGGGGCTCCTTCTTGCCCTCCCGGCTCCGTCTTGTCTGCTTCCCTCTCCAGCTGTGCTTGCCTTGTCAGGTCTCAGACATCTCCCTGCTCCCTCTTGCTTCTGGTCTTTCACATGCTGTTCTCTGTGGCTACAGTGCTTCCCTGTGCCCCTTTCCCCAAGCCCCACTTGACACACCCCCATTATGTCTGCTCTGCCCCTCATCCTCCCGTCCTCAGCCCTTGGCCCACTTCTCAGTATTTGCCTGCATGGCCTGATGTCTGTTTTCCCACCAGACTCTAGGCTCTTCCCTGCAGAGACCTCATCTGTCTTCTGCATCACCCTTTTCCTGCTACTTGATGCAGTACCTGGCACAGAGATGGGCCCCATTAGTGTTTGTCAAATGACTGACTGATTTGGTTCCAGTCTCATACTCTTAACCTGTTCTTTGACTTGTCACTAATGGATGCCAGCTGTCTCCATTGTGTCCTAAGGGGACTAGAGATTGTAAAGGAAAGGCTGTCCTCACTATGGAAAAGATTCAGTCATTACATGTGTGTTGCTAGAGTGAAAGAAACAGACTTAGCACGGGAGGAGTGGGATATTTACCGACCCGTCTATTCAGGGAGCCTCTGCTAACTGTCTTTGCACCAGATGTGCACTAGTTTCCTGCCTCTGAGGGCAGCACAGTGCAGCAGTGTGACGCTAGCCTGCGGTCCACTGTGGGGGGCTTCCCTAGAAGCGTATACTGAGTTCAAGCACAGAGGCACACCTGGTGCAGCCAGGGCAGTCTTCCCAGAGGAGGGGGCAGGGCCATGGAGGTCGCTGAGGACCTGGGACAGTTTGGCTTGTATCAGAGAACTTTGTGGTATCTGTCACTTTCTCCTCTTTGTCCCTGGCCTCAATTAGGATTTGGAGCAGAAGCTGTCCCTGCAGGAGCAGGATGCTGTGATTGTGAAGAACATGAAGTCTGAGCTGGTGCGGGTGCCCAAGATGGAGAGGGAGCTGAAGCAGCTGAGGGAGGAGAACGTCTACCTGCGGTGAGGCGGGTGTGGGCCGTGGGACTGGAGCCTTCCTGGGTTAGGGCTCAGAACCATGGGTGTGCAGCCCCCTGGGGGCTGTGTCTGTGCTCCTGGGGCTCCTGGACTTGCCTCGGGATGTGTGGCTGTTTGAGTGACTATTTCTGGTCCTGCCAGGGAGATGCGAGACTCCAACGGGCTGCTCAGGGAGGAACTGGAGGGTCTGCGGCGGAGGCTGGGGCGTCAGGAGAAGATGCAGGAGAACCTGGTTGACCTGGAGCTGGAGAAGGAGGTGAGGGCCCGACCCAGTTAGCTGTTCCCTGTGGGATGTCCTCTGTGTGTCTAGACCCTGGATGTTTCAGTCCAGTGTTCTGGCTGGTCACCTAAGATACGGAAGCCGCTGTGCTGGTGTGGTGGGCAGAATAGTGGCCTCCCGAGATGGCCATGTCCTGATCCCCAGAACTGTGAATCTGCTGTCTTACATGGCAGAGGGTAAGTGAGGGTGCTGGTCAGCTGGCTGGTGGCAGGGAGATGCCCCTGGGTTATCTGGGTCAGCCAGCGTGAGCACAGGTCCTCACAGGAGCAAGAGGCGGTGGAGGAGGTCAGAATGACATTATGAGGAGGGCTTGACCCGCTGCTGCTGGTGGCGTTGAAGACGGAGGAAGGGATTGCGAGCCGGGGAATGTGGGCACCTCTAGAGGCTGGAAAAGGGAACAGATTCTTCCCTCAGAGTCTCCAGAAGGAGCGCAGCCCTGCCGCCACGTTGATCTTAGCCCATTGAGACCCGGGTGGTCAGACTTCTGACCTATGGAGCTGTAAGATAGTGAATTTGTGGTTCTAAGCCACTCAATAGCAATAGGAAAACTGATAGAGATGGTGCGTCAGAGAGAGGAGATGGCGTGTGGTACCTGAACAAATGTTACCACCCAGACGTGAAGGGGCACCTGTGCTATGTTTCTTCCCCCGGTGTCTGCTGTTGGGACTCGGCAGGTAGCCTTTCGAGGGACGCTGTTGTAGAGATGGTCATAGTGACCATAGTGCTTTCAGTCAGTGCTGAAAGCATCGCACAGTCCTCTTCTGGGCGGATGAGGAGACTGAGATTCAGAGAAGCTCTCTGTCTTACCTAGTGCACGCAAGTTGGGACCAGAAGAACTTAGGCCTCCTGGCTCCTGGCCCAGAGTCTTTCTGTCCTTCTGCACTGCTTCACCTCACTTCTCTGGTTTGCCTGGTGTAAACTGTCACCACTTCCTGATCGTTTCCACAGTCTAGTAGGAGACTAAAAGTTACTCCACTGTCTTCAGTGCTGTCAGCTGCGCCACCCATTAGGTTCACTGCCAGCCTGAGATGTCACAGGGCGAGAGCAGAGTTCCGCTCTCGGATGCTGGCTTCTGTAGGAACTTAGCCTGGAAAGACAACTCTGGAGCTGAGCAGTTTTTTCTGTGGATGTAGTTTATTTTGAAACTGGTTAAGATTTTGGCTCTGGAATCACACTGCCTAGTTTTAAATCCTGCTGTGGATGCTTCCTGACTGTATGACCCTGGGCAAGTTACTTAACCTCTCGGTTTGTTCATCTGTGTAATGAGTAACAGCATCGGCTGTAGTGATGAAGTTGTTAACCAAGCACGTGTCTGGCACATAATGGGCTCAGGAGATATTTGAGTGACTGAATGAATGTGTTCACAGCACTGCACTTGGCTCTGGGCAGAGGGGACGGAAGGCCAAAGGCACGTGGTCCCTTCCCTCACATTGCTTACATTCTGGAAGGGGATGAGACTCAAAGGGCTCTAGGGGATGTGGGTCAGCGTGGAGCAGCTGTGAGGTACAAGGGCAAGCCTGTGGGCAGTGCCAGGTGGGGGTGTTACCACCTTCTCCGTTTTTCGGAGCTGGCTTCCTCCTATCCGGGGCCACGGGTCTTAGTTGGCTATGTCGGATGGGGGAATTTGGCTCTAGGCTGCTGAGTCCGCCTGCCCTGGGGCCCGGCGTCCTCAAGAGCACCTGAAAAATGAGGGGAGGCAGTGGGTTCTTGTGGTTCAGGGCCCAGCGTCTGCTCTCTGGGCACAGACTCCTGCAGGACCATCCGTGAGACTGTTTGCTCCCCCACCTACATTCCTTTTAGCCTGCTGGCATTCTCACAGGATTTATGGGAGCAGGAATGAATGAGGCATTAAGTGTGCAGTGTAGCTTCAGCAACTGGGAAGTAACCTGTTTGCTTTGGAGCAGACTTGGAGCATTTCTGCATTTCAGCTCAGAGATAAGTGCAGGCTCCTCTAAAGGATCAGAGAGGCTTACTGTCCTCATCATCACTGTCAGTTTCGTGTGAGGATACCGGTCTGGGGATCGATGTGCACGTGGTGGGTGAGAGATGGTAGGTAGTGATTTGGTGTGAAGGACAACCGGAGTGTCGTGGGGTCCTCAGACAGGAGGCGATGGGGCGTGGTGCTCTAAGTTTCTACATCCATGTCTTTTCAGAGGCTGCTGGCAAAGCTGCAGAGCTGGGAGAGACTGGACCAGACCACGGGCTTGAGCATCAGGTAGGCGGAGGCGCCGGTGCCTCTCAGTGTCCCCATCTTCTCCTGCACACGGTGGCACCCTGCCTCCCCAGTTCCCTCCGGCAGAGCCCTATCAGCGGCTGCTGGGGAAGCTTCTGCTGGATGCTGCTCAGGTGTAATGAGGTACATTCACAGTGGGTGGGAAACGGAACTCAGTGACTCTCCCTGCCGAAGTCGTAATGACATCTTCGTTTAAGGTCGGAGCATTCGCAGCCAAGTGGTGCCAGGTATTTAATTGCCCTGCATTGTTTGACTTTGTTAAACGACTCTTTTTTTTATATACTGAGGAAATAATTGCTTTTGGGGGAAGTCATTCCTTTTAGGTGGTTGTAAGGAGTGGAGATGAACTGAATTTTTAGGGGTGAAAACAGAAAACACCATAAACGGAGGATTGTTGCCCCAGTCTGGCCCCTGCAGCAGCCTCCTCACCTCATCTGTGTTGAGCTACTGCCAGCGAGGAGTGGCAGGATGCAGAGTGGGGCAGCAGGCGGGGCTGCTGTCTCTGGGCAGGGCAGGCAGGGCGGGCATCTTGCCTCTGCCCCCTGCTACCCATCCCTTCTGTTCTGCCGCTGCCCGTCTTTCTCGAGCGTTGCTCTGCTACTGCCTGCCCCTCAGCTGGGACCCCTTGCAGACCGACTATGCCCCAGCAGCTTTGTCGTTGCCTGGTTGCTCCAGCCTGGGGGAGACGGTGGAAGACTGGTCATTCTGGATTAGTCCTTGGAGCCTGGGGCACGAGGCCTGTGGTGTTTAAGAGCCTTTTGTTTTATCTGCTCATGTGATTCTAAGACTGTAGCTTCTTGGTTGTCTTTCCTGCTGCTCTTGGAAACTGGGCCAAGATTGAGAACCTTCTTTAAAGAGCTGTCCTGTCATTACACTGTCCCACTGCTGGTTCTGGAACCAGTGACTGTTCCGATTGGCGTTATTGACTCCAGTTGTCTGTCTTCATTTTCCTTTCGCCTCCCTGAGTCACAGAGGACAGATGAGGCTGCTGTTTCATCTGGAACTCCACTTGCAGAACCCAGACTCACGTAGGGCTGGCCCCAGCGGGAACTAAATGTTTTGTGCTTCCTCCTGTTCTCTGGACTTATTAACTCACTGGAAAGCTTCCCTCCTGCTTCCAGGGAGATTCCTGTCAGAAGAGAGCCTCCGTGACTTCCTTCTTGTGCATGAGATCAGAGGCCCACTGGTGCCTGATCGGTCTGGCTGCTGGACTGTTGGAGCACCCAGTGCATGCCACAAAGCAGTTGGTGTTTGTCAGGCCAGCCAGCTCTGTCTCTGGCCAGGCTGGAAAGCTCCTTGAGCTCTTTTGATCCCACTTCCACGCTTGAGGGCCCTCCCCTGAGCATGGCTGGCATGCGGGTAAGCGGACTTTCGCAGGCTGACTGCCAGACGGGGTTGGGCCTCTGCCCAGGTGGAGTTCTGGGGTGCTCACTCAGCCTGCCCTTCGCAACCAGGCCCTGGATGAGGGAGAGGAGGGGTGGTCCCGAGGGCTGACAGAGGCGGGGGATGCCTGTGCCCACGGCCATCTTGGGGTCGGGCAGGAGAGGAGGGGCATGCCTTTGTGGTGGGGAAACAGACAGTGTAGCAGAGACTAGGGTCTTGCCTCCCTCTCCCACCAGCGAACGTGCCATTTTCAAGTCTCTGCACGGCTCTGGGCCAGCTTTCTGGTTGTTGGAAAGGGGGTGCACTACCTTCCTTCTCTGTGCTTGTGGAGAGCAACATCACCGTGTGCTTCACAACTGCCTTACAGACTGCAGAGTGTTGGTGACGGTGTCCCTTCTGAGCAGCCAGTGGCTGCCTTCTAGAGAGGCAGGTGGGACGGCCTCGTTGCCCTGTCTCCTGTGGCCCCCTTGGTGAGGGCCTACTGTAAAGGGAAGGTTCTCCTTCATGGGCTTTGTGGCTGGTTGTGTCTGGGCCACTTCCAGGGGCACCTTAGAAACCTCAGCTCCTGCCCCTCACCTTTCCTGGCCTCATTAGGCACTTGGGGCAGGCCTTTACCTCCAGCGACTTGTGCTCCGCTTAAGTGGGTACCTGTCTCGTATAACAGGCGTGAGTCGCAGACTTGTAGTGTGAGTATGCCCCAGTCTTGGAATCACCTGGAGAGCTTGGTATGGATGTGGACGCCTGGGCTGAAGCCAGGCCCGGTGGGTTAGCCCCTCCAGGCACTGGACTTGAGTCTTGGGATGGCCTTGAATACTGTGAGGAGTTTGGCTATCTTTTTTTGCCAGGTTTTGGGCAGTTATTAGAGATTTCTGAGTAGGAGGGTGACTCGGCAGAGTCCCCATTTAATTAAGTTGAATATGGGGGTGGGAAGCAGACAGGGGGACTTAGGACGCAGGGAAATGTTGGGATCCATGCTGCACGTGGGGTCCCTGCAGGAGGGCCTGAGCAGGAGACACAGGCACTGTTCTGGGAGGCGGGTAGACAAGGAGGGAGCTCTGGGAGCCACTGTCTGGGAGCCGCTGTCTGGGTGGTCAGAGCGGGGTCTGCCAGGAGTGGCTCTAGGATAGACGCCCTTCACCTCTTCATGGTGTCAGTGCAACCGGGTGAGGATGGGCAGTCTCAGACCCTGTTAAACTATGGCTGGACATCCGTCTGGCCCCAGCTTGGCCCCCTTGTGTTGTGGGGTCTCTTTTACGCCTCAGTTTCCACATCTGTAAATGGAAGGCCTCTTCTAGAACATTGATTTCTCACCATGGGTTCATGATCTCTCTGAGAATCTGATGCAAATCACCGACTTTCTCCTCATGAAAATGCACGTTTGTGTGTGGGTGCGTGTAGACACATGCTTTTGTGTGCTGGTTCAGGTCCTACCCCCTCAAAGTGTGGTCGGCCGGCTCCAACAGATGGCAGTAAGTCAGAGTCCAGTAAGTGTCCTGGAAGCAGAAGTTCAAGGGGCTAGAGTGGGCTTGAGTCTATTGGGCCTTTAGGGCAAGGCATTGACATAATTTTGGGACTGAGGCCACGTGACTGGGGCATGTCATGACCCCAGCCTCTGGCCTGTGTCCAGTGTCTCTGTGGGTTTCTGAGAGCTGCCACCACTAGGTGGCACACCCCCCTTGGTGATCCTGGCTCCCTGTGGCCTCAGGAGCCGCCGGGTTCCATGGAGCTGCACCAGTCTGTTTGGACTCCTGGCTTTAGGCCCACTGCCATTCTACCATGGGACTTCTTGCCAGAACCAGGTTTTGGTGAGCACGGCTATGAGGAGCCTGTGGTCTTACAGTTCCTGCCTGCCTTTGGGCAGCCAGTGGCCACTGTTGACTGTCCCACACCTACTCTGTTCTTGACCAGTCTCTTTAAGATCCTTAAACCCCTGGGGTCTGTAAGCTTCTGGTGTTTTAGACCAAGTATTCCCTGCGTGGGCTCTCCTCTGTGGACAGGGGATGTGGCTGCTCTCAGGTTCTCAGAGGGCTCTGTGACCTCAAAGGTTAGGAACAGAGATCAGTTCTAACACCTGGAGAGACCAAACCCCTGAAGACTCTACATGGCATGACAGTGATCACCCTCTTCCCGGTTTGGGATTTCTTACATCCTGAGGAGCCCAGAGATACTATGAGAGGTGGGAGGGCAAGTTGGCTGGGTGAGTCAGCCAGTGTGAACCTACAGGGAAGCCTCCTGGGCTGTGTTTCCTTATTTGCCAGACAAGCTTGTCCATCCTTGGTGTTGCTTGATACCTCGTCTCCAGCACATAGGTCATGTGGGTTAGAGGCAGGCTGGGGCCTCACGACTTTGAGCGTCATCGTGCTGGCAGAGGAGGGGGGCCCCTGTGCGCTCGGGGTGGACGCTGGTATGGGGAGCAGGGTAGGCGAACTTGGTGTTTGGACATCCTTATCACAGGTCTTTGAAAGTTGGACTGAGGGATTTAGCAGCAGTACAGAGTGGGTGTGGTGTATGGAGAATTGCAATGCGCTGAACTTCATCCCTTAGGAGTGTGGTCCGTCTGGGGGAGTGGTTTGAGGGTACTGAAGGTGGGCACTGGGAGACACCCTTGGAGGTGTCTGTGACCTAGGCAGGACTGTATGGGGCACTGGAGAAGGAAGAACTGAGGGAGGCAAGATGGAAAAATGGAGTGGAAGCGAGTTCATCCCAGGAATACAGGATGCTTATCTTCAGAAAATTAATTAATGTAACCTACTATTTCAATAGAATAAAAGAGAAAATTTACGATTATCTCAATAGATGCAGAAGAAGCATTTGTAAAAAACCCACACCCATTCCTGATGAAAAACTCGCAGCAAATTAGGAAAAGAAGGGGAACTTCCTCCACCACATGAAGGCCATCTACAAACCCCTACAGCTAGTATGAAGCTCTGGTGAAAGATGAAGGCTTCCCCCAGCACTGGGGGTGAGGCGAGGCTGTCTGCATTCACTGCTCCTAGTCCACAGTATTGGAGGTCCTAGCCAGTGCAGGGAGACGAGGGAAATAAAAGGTATGCAGACTGGAGAGGAAGAAGAAAAACTCTATCTGGAGATGACATAATTATGTAGAAAATCCCAGGGAATCTGCAAAAAGCTACTAGAACTAATAAGTGAGTTTAACAGGATACAATGAAAATATGCAAAAATAGATTGAATTTGTATATACTAGCAACAAACAATTGGAAGTACGTGCCATTTACAATAACATCAGAAAACATGAAATACTTGGGGATAAATTTAACGAAATATGTTAAGATCTGTACACTGAAAACGACAAAGTGTTGCTGAGAGAAATTAAAGCTAACCTAACAATATTGGTGGTCTAGAGGTTAAGATCTGGCGCTCTCACCGCCACAGCCCGGCTCATTTCCTGGTCAGGGAACCATACCACCTGTCTGTTGGTTGTCATACTGTGGTGGCTCGTATTGCTGTGATGCTGAAAGCTATGCCACTGTTATTTCAAATACCAGCAGGGTCACTCATGGTGGGCAGGTTTCAGTGGAGCTTCCTGACTAAGACAGACTAGGAAGAGGAACCTGGCCGTCCACTTCTGAAAAAATTGG